CGTCCTTGGTTTGGACCACAAACTTCGGTTGTTGTCAGTTGTCCTACTTCATCTTTTACACTAGAGAGATAACTGTCTGATTCTGTTTGGCCAGAGAGAGAGAGACAGATCTCAGACCTGAGCTACTTCTGCCCCTGGCACATTAACAGACAAAAAGAAACACTTTTCTAAGCTTTGTCAAAATGTTTAGCTTCTGAAATTGTAGATTACAACACGCATAACATTTTATCGGTCTAGTTCTGCTTTTGAAATAGATTACCTTCCTTGTAAGCTAACCTCTTTTATAGTCAGCTTAAACTGTATGTACAGTATACAATAGAAGTCAGCTTGCTTATACAGTAGCTAAAGTCAATTTCTCCAATACCCTGGTGAGGAATTTGGACCAAGACTCGAACTCTGGAGTGTTCATATGCTTTCTTCTTGCATCCTAACCCAGTATCTACAGTTCAGGTCCCATTGCCCTGTTACAACTGGCTTCTTCCAAGAGATGGCTAGATGAGATCCTTGGCTCAGTGAGGTGTTAACTGGAAACAGGATAATGTGCAGAATGGCCTCCTCTTGTTTGTAATTGTTTTGATGTTATGTTATGTTGTGTATTTCCCAGAGCCTGAGCAGCACAACTAGTTGCTGTATTGTCCAGAGATTAAAAAAGAAACTGGGGCACCTTAACCTGTAGTGGAGGTTTGAAAAGGAAATTTCTCTACCTTATTGACCAACCTACTGTATAAGCAGCCCCACAGAACTGGCCTGAGCAGTCATTCAGCAAAAACACCTAGATTATCAAAAGGAAACATTTGTGGCTTCTACAAATCTAAGTACAAGGTTTTTGACATACTGAGTCATGGTCTTACAAGTAGACTGACTGCAACAGAGACCTGTCGACTCTCTGTACAGCTACAGTACGTTTGTGTTGACTGCTGGAGGCTGCACAGCCATTACTGACATCCTATTATTGAATGTGTTACTATACATAGGTCATCAATTCTTCCCCATATTATATGGCTGAAAGAATTTACCACTGTCATGCTATTATTGTCAGCTGGCAAAACCCGTCTGGTCTGTATACTGAATGTCTGGTCAATGCAGCCTGTGAAATGAATGTGGTTGAGGGGTGAATTAATAGCTGACAGGAAATGAAGTTTTTGTCCCTGTTGTTACAGGAAGAGATAAGTACTTTTCAGATAATTCACACAATGTGTGAATCCAAATTAGTGTGATGGAGCCATCTCTGAGCAGTCGGTAACCCATTAATTTGTGCATGGAATAAAAATCACAGTGAGACATTTTGACATAGTAAGCAATACAGTAGGTCTTAAGAAATCTAAGGAACTTGCCTTTAAGAAGCCATAAAAACAGACAACAGAAAAAATCTGAGCTGAATACAGAATAGGAAAGGACTCCTAAAATGTTTATTTAGTTTATTACTATTAATAACAATTATTGCTGTCTTTACACATTTGCTGTTGCTTTTGGTTAAGTGTTGTTTCATACTTGATTCTGATTGAACGTTATCATATGCCAATAAAATTCATATTGTACAGAAAGAGGGAGAGACAGAGAAAGACGCAATCAGGGGGAGTAAAAAAATGATAAAGGACATGCAGACGTGAGCCATCCTTACCGTACGTGTGAAATCCTTGGGCTGGTGAGGGTGTTACTATTTTGTTAGGTTTTATTTCTAAACAAGCGGAGTCAGCCTGTATTTTTGTCTCACCACGCTTGCAAAGGTTTTCTTAAAGATAAAATAGCTCCTCAGCCACAGTCTCTCATAGCCTCTGGTTTTCTCCTCATTTGTTTTACAAAGCCATACCTTGTGATAGGTCTATTTAACAGGGACTCACTGCTAGGCCTGATACTTCATGGGGCTGTCAAGTGAAGTAAGACAAGTTGTAGTATTTCTTGAAAATCTAGCTGTGTGTGTTGTCCCATTAATGTTTTTTTTGCATCTGTTAGTTCTCAGCCTCCCAAGTAGAGGATGAAAGGTCTGTGTGTGTGGAGGGAGGGTGTCTTTACTTTACGTTCTACAACAGCAACATAGAGGAATGATCAATACTACTTTTTATTTGTTTTGTCCCACTTTAAATTTAAAAGGCAATTCTGAACAAACTGTTTCAAATTTGCTTTTGGGTTACATAGAAGTAAGAAATTTCAAGTGATTTCAAAGTACTAATCAATATATCTTTGGATAATACAAGGATAATGACACTTATACTGTATTAGACTGTTAATATAAGTAGCCTTTCTGTCCAGAATAATAAAATAGTATCCTACTTGGACTATAATACTGTACATAGGTTTTTGTGTTGCTCTGGAGAACTTCAGTAGTAATTTGTTTTGTAACTTTGTAACTCAAGAAAGGAAAAAGTTTGTGCTTCAGCTATGATCAATCTGTTTAGCATTTATCAATGATGTGGTCTCTTTAAAGTTAATATTTTCATTTAACTGTATAACTTCTCTGTGGGGGCAACACAGTGTAATGGCTAAGCCTTCGGAGTCATGATTGGTGGGTTGACCGTGTGAGTCCCTGCAGCAGACATTGCTGTTCTTACATTGAGTGAGGTTCTTTACTCCAGTTACTGGTTACCCCAGTGGTATAAGTGGGGACCAGCTTTTTTGATGTGGTTGGTCAGTGTCCCATTCAGGGGAAGAGCCGTGTGCTTTCTGTCTGCTTAGCACTACTCTATCATGAAGAAGGCTCAGCAGTGCCTTTATTTCTTGAGGTGCCTCAAGCCATGGGGGATGCCAATACATGTGTTGATGAACTTGTACTGCTGCACCATCGAGAGCATCCTCACCAACGGGATCACCGTGTGGTATGGCAACACCTCTTCGCGAGAAAGAAAGGCACTGCAGAGAATGGTCAATATGGCCCAGAAGATCATCGGCTACGGTCACACTGAGATTAAACAGCTCTATGAGGACCGCTGCCGTGGTAGAATTCTGGCCATCACAGAGGACAGTCACCACCCCGGGCATGAGCTCTTCACCCCACTGCCCTCAGGCAAGAGATATACAGTAAGAGCATATGGACACTTACCACTAGATTCTTCAATAGCTTCTATCCACAAGCAGTGAGATTGGCGAACACATTTAGCCATCCCCCTCGGACCACACCTACACCATCACCATCTACCTCATTATGATTTCTTATCTATTGCACATCTCCACTCATCTCCAGTCACAGTTGTACATTGTCTACTGTTTGTTTGTATATTGTCTTTATGCACTGTTTGCACTTTGTTTTGTTTTTTACACTTGTTTTACAATTGAGAGACTTTCTGTAAGTAAGAATTCCATTGTACCAGTACAGGTTACATATGGCAATAAAGTTCAAGTTCAAGTTCAAGTTCAAACCAGGAAAATGTCTGCCCTCATGAGCCTCTGTGGGGCTCTTGTATAGACTTCAACTTGACATTATCTATACTAACATTTTTAGAAGTGCTGTTGACATTGTATCAGCAGCCATGAAGTTTGCATAAATGCATAAAGCATCTCCTTTACCCAAAGGGCGGTGGACGGATAGAACAAGCTACCCAGACATGTTGTTGAAGCCAATACTTTGGCTAATTTCAAGAAACATCTGGATGACATCCTCCCACCAATTAGCTACTAACTACCAAAAGGGCTTGATTGGCTAAATGGCCTCTTCTCGTTTGTGTTCATTATTACAATCTTATGTTCATAATTAAGAATGGTTTAACTCTATACCAACTGTTACTCTACTAATTTACTAATGTGTCATAGATTTGAAGCATGGGGAAGTGTTGCTTAAACCCCTCAATCAGGACTGAAGTCTGAAACATCCATCCATTTTTGAACTGCTTTTTCTAATTCAGGGTCACAGGGGAGCCACAGCCTACCCCAACAAACAAGGGGATCAAGGCTGGGTACACTATGGACAGGATGCCAGTCCATTACAGGACATGCACACACTCACACCAGTGTTAATTTCCCCAGATGCCTACCAGTACGTGTTTGGGCTGTGGGAGGAAACCAGAGCACTGGAAGGAAACCCACAAGGAGGACATACAAACTCCATGCGAACCCAGAATCCCACTGCTGTGAGGGAATTCTAACTACTACGCCACCCTAAGTCTGAAACACAAGAATGTAATTAGTACAGAAGCTGGCCTGTCCTACACTCTTTACAATATCAGGTGTAGGAAGCAGCACCATCCTTTCCACTATTGTGCAGCAAAGCCAGCCCTGAGTGGGTGGATTGGGGCCATACGATGCAGTGAACACCTTCAGATGAAAGCTGCATCAGCTATAGTAGGTCAAACCGACTGCTTCTGTGAGACATTGATGCAAATGGTAGCTATCCAGAACACTGATTTGCATTGACCCCCTGTGACATTCACACCCTATAATGTCACCACTCTTTCTCTCTCTTTCCTAGCATTAATCCCGCATCAGCAGGGTCCACTTGTTGGCACATCAGTCTCCATTTGGTGGTTTGGACCATATCTTTGCTGGCGTTGCCATTAACTGTGACTGAGAAATACTCCAACCGGCGCGTCGCTCCGCCTGCCGTCAGAGTGGGAGGGGGGGGGGGAGGAGAACAAAGTAATGTAGCCAATTCATAGATGGGGATTATTAGGAGGCATGGGAAATTTGGCTAGGATGCTGGGGTTACACCCCTACTCTTTTTGAGAAACACCCTGGGATTTTTAATGACCACAGAGAGTCAGGACCTCGGTTTGACGTCTCATCCGAAGGACGGCCCTATAATGTCACCACTGCAGCACATTATTACAGCTTTTGCATCTATAAACACATTTTCTAATGCAATTATAATTTCTAACTAGCAATTATAGCACCTTGTATTTTCCCACACCCATGTAAATAAGTGAGTCTAAACAGACTTCAGCATTGAGAGCTTTTTGAACATTTTTCTATAATTGATATTCAGAATGTTTTATTTTGCCACTAGTTATCTAATTTCTGTTTAAATGTGCTTCATTTTTTAAATTGTCTTTGATAGTAACATTGTGGTTTAATTTCAGAATGAAAGCAATGTTACATGACTGCACGCTGAACAGTTTGGGTGTCTTGAATAGATCATTCCCTCGTAACACTATAAATACAGATGTGTAAGATGAGAGCCTCAGTTTAAAGTTTGAGAACTGAGCTTACAGGTCACAGGTAGAAAACCATACTAGCAGCTCTCTTCACAGCATTGGAGCCTACTGGTCTCAACAGAAGATGGCCAACAGTGAGATCTATGAAAACTTTAAATTTCACCATGCGATTGTAATGAAGCAGTTGCAGGAGAATGAAAGAAAACAGCCAGCAGGTAAAGAAAATATACAGTACATACATTTATATTCACATAAAAGACACTTCCTGTTTTGGCAGGGAAAAGCTATCTTTAGAAAGCCAAGCACTTCAATAATACTGTACAGTTTTTGGTAAATTAGTCCATTCATCCATCTGACAGTGTGCACCCGAGTAGGGAGGTTTATAAATCAAACTCTGAAATGTAATTTCAGAATGCTTTTTTTTTTTACTTTTACCTCACACATAATTGTTAATGAGCCATTGTGGAATGTGGAACTGTACTGAGGGGGGGGTTATAAATGTCAAGGACCACAAAACCTGATTCTTTATCAGACTTAACAGCAGAATCTGTTGCAGAATCTCTGATTAATAATTTGGAAGCTGGGGTCATTAGAAACTGAAGCAAGCTACTCAGCCATATTGAAGCTAACACCCTGGCTTCTTTTCAGTAACAACTGGTAGAGATCCTTGGATCAATTAACTACTAATTGCCAAATGGGCTACATGGTTGTATCTCATTTGTAACTTTTCTTATATTCCTAAGGTAGTGATGCATTTAGACAGGTTTTCCATGTGAACTGCCAAGATAAGTATGAAGAAGAGGTCTTTCTGATGAAAGAAAAATTGATTTGAATTACATAACTCTTTTACTGACATATCAAAAGAAACGTTTAACAGTGCTGCTCTTCATAAATTGAGAAATGCATACTATTATCCAGGTTGTCCTCTTTGATGCTTTTTAAAGATTTTTTTTTGCATTGCTTTTGGTTTTTGCTGTTTTTATTCTTTCAAATCACTTGTGCAATGGTGATTGTTTTAGTTTAAACAAGAGATAATGTATAATAAAAGTGTATTCTAAATTTGTTAACATACACTTTATTATTAAATGACATATTATATAGATTTTTTTCTATTATTCCTACAAAGCAGTGAATGAAAATAAGTTATCTTTTGGTGAGCAATAGTTGTGCATTATTTTGGAATAGGGTTTTAGCCCTGGTGTCAGTATCTGCAACATTCATTAAGCCATTTTCTAACAACTTCTTCTAATTCACGGTTGCATGGGGACTGGAGCCTATCAAAGCAAGCAATGAGCACAGGCAGGATACATCCTGGACAGGACACCAGTCCATTTCAGGGCACATGTGGATGCAAACACACACTCAAAGCAGGGCCATTTTTTTCCAATGCAATGCTATCCACTCCGCCACTGTGCCGCCTCTGTATCTGAAACATTCTTTATTTTCTAATCTCTTGTAGCTACATATCAAGCAGATGTCAGAGATAACATTTCTTTAGCAGCCACAGAAGACCAAGAGGTACTGAACACAAATCAGACTGCACCACAGAGAAATGAAGATCACATCAGGCAGATAGTCCACCAGAAAGCCTTCAAATCCAAAGGTACTGTACGTCTCTATAACAAATCCCCCTAAACAGGTAGTGTAGTCTGAGGGAAGTATATGTAAAACTCCCCTTTTTACAGGAATTTGGAAGCTGCCGGACCAAACTTAACATAACAAAACCTTTCTAACCCAGCTTTTGTCCGTGTGTTTGCACACCCAACTTCTTTGTGATAAAGTAGCAGCAGAAATAGACCTCAAACTGGTCATTCCCGTTTGGCAGGCCTGCTCTTACTGTCAACAACCAAGGCTGCTAATTGGAGTAACCCTTCACTAACATCTTCATGTCTCTTTTTTGACAAAAGTGTTTCTGTTAACCTCAAGTAATCCCGCCATGAGCTTAAATCTCCCTCTGTCTAGAAGACTTCGAGGGTCTATCCCAAAACCTGAGCAGACAACCCCTCTCTTCTCTCTGTATTTTTATGCTGGGGAACCAGCTTTCGCAATAGGTGAAGCAAATTCACTAATATCCTTCTATGAATGCAGCTGTTTCTGGAGAGTCTCTACTCCGCCCTTTGGGTTTATATTAATAAAGGTTTTAATTGCTCAAGTCACTGTAGACAGTTACAGGAGGCACACCATGAGCTTACTGATTAATATTAAAGATATAAGCTCTTTGTTACTAGTGGGTTGATTGGCTTCTGGGAAAATTGACCCTGGCGTGAGTGTGTGTGTCTTTGTTTGCTCTATGCTGGATTGGTGTCCCATCTAGGCTGTATCCTGCCTTGTGCCTGTTGCTTGCCAGGATAGGTTTCGGCTGCCCCCTGAACCTATTAGACAAAGTGATTAGAAAATGGATGGTTGGATACACAGTAAGAACAATCTAACTGCTAACCCAAAGACCAGTGGAGGAGTGAGTTTCTACCAGTTTTTTAATACTCTGTTGATGTTTTTAAAGATTGTAAATGATTATAAGGGTTTTATAAATAGAATTTGCATGTACTAAACTGAAGCATTACCCCAGCTCTTGATATTTTACCTCTCCAGGTTTCACAATTTCCATTGTGCTCCTTTATGTCCTCTTGCTGTTCACCTCTCTGATCTGGTTTGTGTTAACGTTGAAGGGATACATGATGTGTGAGTATTGGAGACCATCAAATCACTTCTAACACCCTGTCTTACTGCTGGTACAGTATTTGGGTCTGCTTTCACAAAAAGGAATGAAAAACACATACTGTAGCACTTGCTGTTTTATTTTTGTTAAATATTACCTTGCTCTTAGTTCGGTATTTTGGTTGCCGTCTTGTGTCAACTATAAATTAGTAGCGATGTACAGTAATACGATTGGCTGCTTTCTGTCCTGAAGCTATAAAGGAACTATTACCTTGCTAAATTTACCTCAGAATACAAAGAGAGGCTTAAAGATGTCTATCAGCTTAAAAAAAGAAACCTCAGCATCCTCTTTTATATCTGTACTTCAGACAGTGCCATGACAGAGGAGCTTCAGCACTTGAGAATGATGCACTCCATGTGGAAAGAGAACGGTACGCTGACAAAATATTGTGCCTGCAGGTGACCAAAGAGAACACAAAACAAAAATCTGAGTTTGCACTTTGTAGAATAAGGCATTCCAGGCCCAATTGCAGACAGGAACAAGCAAACAGTTTTTTGACAACCAATCTCTCAAGACTTCGAACATTTCAATCGTGGTCAGTTATGAAGGTGATTCATTAAATTATTTAAGAACTCATTTGGAATACAAAACTGAATACCCTTGATTAATTGTTTGAGTCTCCTTAACTAATCAACTTACTTGCTTAACTGATCAGTAGCTTACAGGAGTTCTTAACCATTAGCTATGATTTAGGGGAGCTAAGTTTTCAGTTTGTCTTAGCCAGTAGCTGGCTCAGAAAGCTATACTGTACTGGGTAGATTAAAGGAATTATGTGCAAGTACAGAGTGCAACAAGTTCCCTTAATAACGACAGCAGTACAGCTCCTGTTATTTTTGTGCACATACAGTACTTACAAAAGCCCCAGATGATGCTCATGAATCCAGTTAGGCTTGTATCAGACCACACCAGGCCTAAGGGTCCACAGCACCCTCTAGTGGAAAAATCACAAGATACAGAGCCTTATTCTATGAGATTATTGTCATGTCATTTGCCAAACCACTTTATATCATACGGTATCGCAGGAAGCCAGAGCCTATCCAGCAAGCAACGAGTGCAAGGCAGGGTACACCCTGGATGGGACACCAGTCCATTGTGTAAGCCAATCATACATGCGGAAATTTGGAGGCCATCGTAAAAGCCGAGGGGGGAAATTTGGCCCGGACACCGGGCTACTCCCTACTCTTATCTAGAAATGCCCGGGGATCTTTAATGACCACTGAGAGTCAGGACCCCGGTTTAACATCTCATCCATAAGATGGCACCTACTACAGTATAGTGTCCCCACCACTATACTGGGGTATTAGGACCCAAACAGACCACAGGGTGGGTGCCCCCCACTGGTCCCACTAACACCACTTCCAGCAGCAGCCATAGCCTCCTAGGAGGTCTCCCATCCAGGTACTGACCAGGCTCAAACCTGCTGAGCTTCAGCTGGTAGCCAGTTGAGAACTGCAGGATGATATGACTGCTGGTTTCCTATGCTATTATTCTAAAACAAAATAACAAAAAGCAAAGAAATACCCAGAAATAAAAAGTTATATTATGTACTTTTGCCTCATATTCATCTTTTCATCTCAAATCTGAATTGCTTGAGTATACAGCAAAAATAGGAATTTGGCCTTCACTGTACCAATATACAGTATATGCATGGCACTATATACAATGTGGCTACAATTATGCAAAATAAAAAAGTGGATCCTAGGATCTATAAATGAAGAAACACAAAAGGCTGCAGCTATATAGGTAAGGAGCCAGTTTGTCATGTACAGTATTTCAATGTAAAGGAATGAGCCCTGTACACCATGCACAGTATTGTACTGTATGTGTTACGTAATTAAAACAGAGGTCACATACAGCAATCCATTTTAGAATATTACTGATTAACTGATAGGGTGATCCTGATGATGATGGTTTAGGGCAAATTGATTTTTTTATTGATTTCCAAAGTTTCTGATGGAATGAGAATCCTGAAAGCTGCGCAGGATATCCTGAGGATCCAAAGTAAGTATTGAATTCCTGCCCCCTTTGCTCTATAAGGGGTGGAATCTTCTTTCCCCCCTAACCAGGGATTGCTGTTGCCTGGGAAAGGGGCATTTTAAAGGGCTGTCAGAGGGGCTAGGTAGCTCAATGGGCTTTGTATCAGTGATACTGTACAATGGAACAGACCAAATGCCTCATAAACACGTACTCAAGTTCACTCCGTTGATAAAACATTTACTGTAGGCCTGCCATGCAAGTCTCGGCAGCTGGCTCATGAGACCTGAGCACTTGGAAAACCATGATGAACCACAGAGATATCATGCAAGAAGACTTCAGTTTTACAAACTTTGTCACTGAATAAAAACCTACTGTAAACCAACATAACATAACATAACTATCCAGTAAGTCTCTATATAATAGACTTATCTAATTAAACCCTTATATGAGAGACGCCTTCACCAATTATCTAATTATTCAATTAATGCACTACAGGTGAACCTACTGTAAGTGTTATACTGTATTTTTACTGCTTGGTCCTATGTAGGGAATCAGGCATTGGTAGACATGGAGCCTGAGTAACAAAACCCAGCTGGTGTTTTTTTTTACACAATACATGATGTACAGAAAAAGGCCCTACTGCCCTCCACAGGCAGGTTAGCTGAAATCACAATCCTCATTACTCCTGGCCTGTCACAGTTTGCTTCAGGAGCTGTGTGGGTGATAGGTGACATAGCAAAACCCACAGCAATGCAGCAAAGGCAAAGGCAATTTCCGTTTTTAGCAGACTCATCTGCAGTACTTGGTTAGGCTCAGTTACTCTGTTACTATTACCAGCTTCTGAGACATTCCTTTCACATCTGCCAAGCTGTGTGAACCCCAGAAGGCACTACAATAACTACTGCAGAATGTTTTGTCTTGCACTTCTCAGCTGGTGGATGTAGCAAGATTGTTGTACCTTGTCTCTCATTCTATTTCATTCTTTTCATTAGACAATAACATCACATCAGAAATTACCCAGCTGAAAAAGCAAGGTTGGTATTCCGAGTAACAGGTTAATGAGGGTCAAGGCCTAGTCAACGACAAATTGTTTCACTGCGTTTCATCTTTTGCAGATGAAAAAGACACGTGAATTGAGCCACTTGTTAAGATAATCTGTTCTCAGACCAGCCCTTTCTTTCTGACTATGTTCACCAGGTGTTGAAAGAACCCTGCCCTTTCTGCTGATCGTGTTAAACGAAAAGAGCATTGTATCAGTGATACAATGGAACAGACCAAATGCCTCATAAACACGTATTCAAGTTCACTCTGTTGATAAAACATTTAGGCCTGCCATGCAACTCTCAGCAGATGGCTCGTGAGACCTGAGCACATGGAAAACCATGATGAACCACAGAGATATCATGCAAGAAGACTTCAGTTATACAAAATTTGTCACTGAATAAAAACCTACTGTACACCAACATAACACCAACTACCCAGTGAGTCCCTAAAAAATACTTATCTAAATGAACCCCATGTGTGAGAGACCTTCACCAATTATCTAATTATTTAATTAATGCACCACAGGTGAACCTACTGTATGTGTTATACTGTATTTTTACTGCTTGGTCCTATGTAGGGAATCAGGCATTGGTGGACATGGAGCCAGAGTAACAAAACCCAGCTTGTGCTTTATTTTACACAAAATACATGATGTACAAAAAAAAGGCCCTAACGCCCTCCAAAGGCAGGTTATCTGAAATCACAATCCTCATTAATCCTGACCTGTCACAGTTTGCTTCAGGGGTAGTGTGGGTCATAGGTGACATAGCAAAACACACAGCAATGCAGCAAAGGCAAACGGCGATTTGAGACATTCCTTTCACATCTGCCAAGCTGTGTGAAGCCCAGAAGGCACAACAATAACTATTGCAGAATGTTTTGTCTTGCACTTCTCAGCTGGTGGATGTACTGTACCAACATTGTTGTACCTTGTATCTCATTCTATTTCATTCTTTTCATTAGGCAATAACATCACATCAGGAATTTCCCAGCTGAAAAAGCAAGGTTGGTATTCCGAGTAACAGGTGCATGAGGGTCAAGGCCTAGTCAACGACAAATTGTTTCACTGCGTTTCATCTTTTGCAGATGAAAGACACTTGAATTGAGCCACTTGTTAAGATAATCTGTTCTCAGACCAGCCCTTTCTTTCTGACCGTGTTCACCAGGTGTTGAAAAAACCCTGCCCTTTCTGCTGATCGTATTTGTGTTAAGCAAAAAAATATATATACTGTACAATATATACTGTATATTGCCAGTTACTGGTTGGAGCATTGCTGTATTTCCTCAGTAATTTTCAGACATTTTTATTATTTTCTGCGGCTTGAAATATCTGCACATTTGTTCAGTCTCTTGCTGTTTAGCTCATTGTTTTTTTTCCTATTTGTCCTTAGATACATACATCTCTACAAGCATCAGAAATCTAACTTTTGAAATTTTCCAGCTCAAACAACAAGGTATGTAGACAAAGTTAAAAACACTAAAATGACAATTAAACCTTGACCCTCTGCTTCAGACCCTTGGATTCCTGTAATTTCTACCAATAAGATTATAACCCTTTTTAGAATAAGCTACTACAATTACAGTCTGGGATAATCCAGTGTTTATTTGTTTCGATTGCTGAGGAATGCTACAGTATCTATGCGATGATTCAGGCAGAAGTTTTTTTCACATTTTTTTTTCCTGTTCGGCCTTAGGTGCTAACAATTCAGACAGTGGACTGCTCAGAATACAAGGTCGGTAACTAGAACTCAAGTTGGTGACATAACAAAGGCAAAGACCAGTCATAAAGTAGAAGGAAGAGCAGAGAAGGCTGCTCTTAGTCTATGCTTGGTTTTCTGAACCCCATACATTTCAGTATTGTATAATAATACTAATAAATTTAAAAAAAACTAAATTTGTATCTGACACCTTCAAAAGTGACTTCTCAAAGCACTTTACAGAACAACAAAAAAATACAGAAAGAAGTTAGTTAATGGGGGTATTTGTATGCACATAACGGTCCCAGTTGAGCGGAGGCTAAGTCGTTAATTGAAACAAAGAACGCTTCCAGCTGTTTTATTGAAGGAAAACAGGGCATCGTTTTCTACCACATGGCAAGGCAACATGTTCCATGCTCCCACAACCCTTTGTGTAATGCAATGCATCCTGTTCTGATTGGAGGATTACATCCAGATGTTTCTCGAAAGAAGCCAGAGTATCTGCTTCAACATTATGGTTTGGTAGATTGTTCCTTGCTCCAACATCCCTTGTTGTACATTCTCTTGTTCCTTATTTATGATTTGTGTTTTACAGGTGGACCTCTTATAAGTGATGGGGATTAGAGCTGACATTTCAGGTGAAGGACAAAGTGTCCGATATGCCCAACCAAGTGTAAATAGGGGTAACGGGCACCCTATTCCTAGAGCTTGTCACTCATTCCTGCCAAATACCAAGCTAAAATTGTCCATCTTCTGAACCTCCTAATGATAACTCTACGGGGGATAATGTTGGCATGGCATTAACAGCATTAATCACTGGATATCAGTACACACATTGCTATATGATCGTTTCTCTTAGTATATTGAATATGTTTATATTGATAACATTGTTATTTGAAATACTGTCCTTTAAAACTTGTTTTCAACATTAAATGTACCACCTTAATTGTTATCCACAGCAATTAACTTACATTATTTTCCATTTTATTTTTAACTGTATTTACCTTTATCATTGTTTTAATTTCAAAAGAATATCAGACCATCTTCATATTCAAAGTCAGTAGACTATTTCAGAATATAGCCTCTTGTACTGTATCGTTCTTAAAAACTGAAATCTAAAATAAAGTTTTTTTTAAGTATTCAATTCTGAACCAACAGTGATAAAATAATTATTTTCGAGTTGTTCCAGAAATATGGTCATGCCAGCAGACAGGAATTTAAATGTTTTTTAATTTCAGATTTTCTTACTGGAAAGTTGGCCTAGAATACATGGTTTCCTCTCATTTCACACTTGATCTAAAAATATAAGGATGTTTGGCCTTAGAAAACAACAGCAACTTGACCAAAGTCGTTTGCATTGATAAAGGAACAATGATAAGAAACAAATACAGTAGAACCAGGGGGATTAATGCCATTTACTGTCTGTTACCAATAAACTATTTCTGTAACAGTTAAGCAGAGAGTCTCTGGGTTCTACAGACATTTACAAATTACAACGTGTTAAAAATTGAATCAAACTAATTAAATTAATATCTATGTTGCGCACAGGATCAACAGAGATGTCTTCGTTTTCTTGTGTTCACGTACAGGAACCATCACGTCCTCTGGTTAATAGGCCTTAGAATGTGATTGTATGATAAATTACCTCGAATCGCAGAACTAATTAAAACTAAGTTTTAAATAACCTTATCTCTGTTTCATTGTAATCACATTAAATACAAATGTGCCGGTTTCACTATGCTGTTGTAAAAACATGTAGAACTGTCCCCCGTATTTTTAAACATCAAGCGCACTAACCCCCCAAAGTAAATTGGCAAATATACGGAATATTTTAGCAAATATACGGTAAAGGAGCGGCGACGCAGAATCAAGCTCTTTCTATTGGTTGACTTTTCTGTCAATCGTTCCTAAAGCCGTCACCCGTCTGCGGCGTCCCTTCCTCAAGCGACGCTGTATTTCAGAAGCAAGCCCAACCTTCTTTTCCATTGGCTGCTAGCCTACATGGCATTGGGAACACTCCGGGAATTCGGCTTTTACGATTGGTTCACCTGGTGGCTTATTCAAACCAGGCTGCTTCGAGGCTGGGGCTTCCGGCGTTGGTGGTGATGTTTGACAAGAGAGGCCGCCCAGCAAAATTAAGGTGAGAGTTATAAAGTCGTAATTTACAAAGCTGTGGTCATTGCATACGTTTATTTTTCGTTTCCTGGATGTTAACTTCTCGATAGGGCCGGTAACGGTTTCCAGAGATCGTGCTCTTGCAGTCTGTGTCAGATGGTTTGCGGTGGTGTCGGCGGCTACGGCTCCTGCTTTGCGGTTTAACAGCGCAGTAGCATCACGTCTCGCTGACACACTGAAATCACAGGCTGAATCAAAAGGCACCGGGCGGATTGCATATTCGGTTGCAAAAAAACAGTCCTCTTTTTTTATCTGATTACTGCATTGTGGAGAGGTGGAACATTTTACTCACCACCTGAAACACACCTGTCTAGTTTAGTGCCTTTTGTAAAAAAAAAAACTCAAGGTTATCTCGGTCTGTGCATGATGTAAGATCATGATAAACATAGTGTCCTAACTTGAGGGTATTGCAATCTGGGCCGTGTTACCCGAGAAATGGACTTCGTATCGTCATTACGTTGCTTGGCTAAGAGCTGCAGCCTTTGGTTTCTTTAGTTGGTGTGGGGCTGATCGGGGTATTTCTGACACCTACAGTATAACTTGCTTTGCAGCCTACAGTACGTCAAAATGTCCGTCACTGAAACTGTAGTTACTCATCCTTGTTTGAATGACGACTGATGGGTGCGTAGTGCGACTTACAATTAAAGAATTGAGCATATTTATTGTGCCCAGGTCTGCGTACAAGATGCCTCTTTTAGGGTGGCGTGGACAAATGATCGGGATCATTTCAGGCGAGATCCCAAGAGAAATTAGCTGTACACATTATATACTCTGCTTTGATCAGAAGAGAGAGTGACGGTGTTTTAAGAGATGGCATATTGCCGGGGACGATGTTGTGAACCGGCAGAGCACCTAACATGGTTGGTAGGACTGTGAATTTTTAGAAGGGAGTTGGATTTGATGGCCTTTTCCATCTCTTGCGTAGCAGACTTATATTCTGACTACACATCTGTAGGATTGAATTTCCCTGAGCCAGATCGGCAAAGAAAGAAGAAAACCCTGGGAACGTTGGTTACTTCTCTGAGTTGTTCAATGTGCAAGAATGGCAGTACTATTCGAAGTGTAAAATGCATAGTGCTCATCAGGGGAGTTAGCGCTCCAGTTGGTAAGAGTCGTTAAAACCGTGTCAAGCTCGGACTTTTAAGAAATTCCTGGGCTTGTTTAGAGTAATAGAGGACACGTCGGTGTCTTTGGAAAAAAAAATTCTAAGACAGTTCAGACTCAGCTATTTGTGTTTTTCAGTTTGTGATCCACCATGCTCCTCTTTTGACAGCTGGTGAAGTCACCTCAGGGTGTCCAAACCTTGTCCTCAGTGGTTTTCTCCTAATTGTAGGGGATTCTGGTCACTGTTGCCTAGTAACAATGACCCAGACTTAGACTGGGTTTCCTGACCATTTGGTTTAAATGTCTTTGCTAGTTGAGCATCCTGAAAACACACTGCCAGTCCAGTGTTTGGTAGTATAGCACTGTGCCAGGAAGTGGTTAGTTCTGTGGTCTTAGGATCAACCTACTGTACTTCTAGTGTCAGTGCAGACAGGCTGTGTGACACCCTCTTGGTTGTCGACGTTACTTAATGTTTTTATTTTCATATCTGAGGACAGGATGGCGGGGCAGTGGTTAGCATTGCTGCCTTGGAGTGCTGGGTACTTGGGTTTCTTTCTGGATCTGGGGTTTTATCTGCGTGGAGTTTGTATTTTGTTTGGACTATAGGAGGAAACCAGGGCACCCAGAGGAAACCCACACAAACACAAAGACATACTGGTAGGTTAATTGGCTTCTGGGAAAAATGGCCCTGGTGTGAGTGTCTATGATGGACTGACATCCTGTCTTGGCTTTATCCTGCCTTGTGCCTGTTGCTTGCCCCAGTTGCTTGTACTGTATCTGACCCAAGTCGTGCTTGTCATTGTCAAACAAGGATTAATGTGCCTGGAGTGTTTTTGTTTTTTCAGATATTGCACAGGTACATGTCAAAAGGAGAATGGACTGCACTCTGTGATTTGCATGCTTTATTTGCTCAATAAACCGACTCTGATATAAATTGACTTTTGTTGGGCTTGGTTTGCATTTGCAGAATGGGAGAAAGGCCAATGTGTTCCATATTAGAAGCTCTTTCTAACACACACTTTGGCACAGCTGTGTAAGTCAGCAGGGTGATACTTCTAAAGAGGTTTTGCATCACTGGGATGTCATAGAGAAAAGTAACTTGGAGGTTATTAATATTAGATGTAGGTTTGTTATTCTGAGAGGAAAGATGATGCAGCTCTGAGACAGGGCATGTATCTCTAAATGTGCAACATGACTCTTAAGAGGCTACCTTCTTTATGCATAGTTTGTGAAAAATGAGCACCCCAGAAAGTAGCCAATTTATCTGCTAGTTCTGTCCGTATAACATGCGTCAGCTGACTAATTGTCTGTGTCAGATGTCTTGTGCGATGCTCAGGAAGGCGCTTCTAGATGTTGAGGTGTTCATCTCTTCTCCTTTTGTGCTAGGTATTTTGTCACAGTTTAACAGAGTTTATACAGTAATATATCTTTCTCTATGCATGCTGGAGCACTGCATTATCTGTAGGAGAATCTTTGCTGCAAGTCTTGTAATTGATCTGTGTGAGTTGTTTTATGTAAATAAAGATCTTATTCAGCAAAAAGCGCTAGGGAGAATAACCTCAAGCAGTGAGAGACAGGAAATGACATTGGGAAGTAAATCAATGGGCCTCGGCTGTTTGTGCAACCCTATATTTCTTCCCCTGTACTTTTCCTCTGAGACATCTTTGAGACTTTGTCAGAAACTTTTTTACTGTAATGCTGAATTAGCATACCAATTAATAATCTATGCAGAGGGAAATAGCTGATGGGAATAATACAGAGCACAAACAAAGGCATAGAACTTGCACTGTGACCAACAGACAATTAATTCATATAATCATTGACCTTTTCAGGAGAATGGACAGTTTTGTGTGCTTTTGCCCCAGGCAGTCTCTTGTAGTAAACAATGGAGCCCTAGTTCAAGTTCTGGCTAAAGTAACTACAGTGTGGAGTCAAGGCTTGAGCATGTAATGTGCTTTTGAAAAAGGGTGAGAAGTGAAATTCCTGTCCTTAAAAGGGTTAGTAAAACCTTATATTTAACTCCCTCTGGTGAAACTAATACTTAAAGAAACTTTGAAATTGGACCGTTTTATGGTGGTTGGAACATCACTACAATTTTAGGATAAGTTTAATAAATTTCATAATTTGTATCATAACAGCACCACAAGTACAAATGAAATAAAATGACTACTGTTATTTTCCTTGCAACCTGTCATCTCTATGTACAGAATAATGGTTATATTAATGTTTCCATTTATCATTTTCCATATTTAATTTAGTTAGCCTGGGCACAAAGGATAGTTGTGTTAGCTGTCTTAATATAAAGTAAAAATGCAACATTTATGTTAACAATCATTTGAACATGAAGGAACAAGTAATAGGTTTATTCCATGCTGAAAAGTGAAGAAAGAAAACACAACGTTTCGGCTGTGGAGCCTTCTTCGGGTGTAAGCTTTCTTTTCTTTTCAGCTTGGAATAAACCAATCACTGGAACATTTTTATTTTATGTGAGCAAGAAGTTTAGTTAAAGTTGCTTTTTACTCCCAAGATCAAGGCAATAACATTTTCAATTGGTTTGACCTTCTTGATTGACTCTGTCTGAGAGATATTAATTGATTTGTGTGTGTCTGTCACTTCACAAGAAGGATTGGGTACTGTGTAAGGAGCTGAAACGACTAACCAGATTTTTATATATTTTATATCAAGAGGTAAGGTTAGTGATGACTTGTATGGGGAAGTCATCAGGTTAGTGTGCCCAGTTCAGCACAGGTTCACAGTACAATAGTTGCTTAACAGTTAGTGTCCCTCTCATCTCTGGAAACTTCTGGAATAATATCTACTGTATTGTGAGAAAACCCTGGAGTGCTGCCTTCAGTGTTTCGTTGAATCCATGTTAAAATGAAACATTAAGCTTGAAACCGAATCGCAACATTGATGTCATGTAGTTTTTATATTTTAAAATAAAACTACAAAGATGGGTTTTCACATTCAGATGGGAATTTACTCAATGTGCTTTAGTTACCACTTTCCCCTTCCACAGCATTTCTAAAGTTTTCTGTTTCCGAATCCCTCCTTGACAACATTTGACTCTGACAAATCTTAGATCCCTCAACAGTGTCACACAGCTGGCTCTGTGAAGGGTACTGTGAGACCAGTCATTTATCTGGAAAATGTTAGTGTAAGCTACATGGGATAAAGAAAAAAAAACATTAAATAAAAAATACCCCCTCCCTTTTTCAAGGGCTGAAAAGATACAGTACAGTACAGTTCTCTTGCATTTTGTTGGTTGCAAGGTCACATTAAAGATGGGGAAAATCTCTGACATGATTTATTTTGGTTTCTGGCTTTACATCACAAAAACCTGCAATTTCAATAAGGGTGTGTAGACTTTTATATCCAGTGTACTGTATGTCTGTCCCATGGTGACGGGATGAAACAAATAGAGGCTGCATGAATTTTAGAATTCTATCCATTTGTCCATTTTCTAACTGCTATTCAGGGTCGTGGGGCAGCTGGAGCCTATGCTGGCAAGCAACGGGCACATCGCAGGGTACACCCTGGATGGGGTGCCAGTCCATCATAGATCATACAAATACACACACTCTCACACCAGGGCCAGTTTTTCCTCTGTTACCAGTTAACTACCAGCATGTCTGTGAACTGTGGGAGGAAACTGGAGCACCTGGAGGAAACTCATACGGACACAGGGAGAACATACAAACGCCAGACGGATAGCGTCCCAGATTCAGATGGAACCCAGGACACCAGTGTTGTGAGGCAGCAAAGCTAACTACAATGCTACCGTGCATCCTGGATTTTAGAATTATTACAGAAAAAGAACAGCTGATTATCAACCCCTAGCCTCCGGACAGCCCAAGAAAGCAGATGTTCAGATCGGGTTAAACAAATCCATAATGCTCAACATTCATAGATGAGGATTTCACGTTGGTGAACAAAAATCTAAATGTTGAAAGTGAGCATACTGAAAGAAACAGGCTGGGAATGGAAGGGTGAAATTCTATCCTGGTACAAAAACTGGGCACAGCAGGAAGAGGGGAGAGGAACAGCCATTGAACAGCAGTTCTGCAAGTCTCCTCATGCCAGCTGATGAGCCTCAACTAGAAACTAGCTGTTTCTTATCGTTAATCATTTGTAGAGCAGGGCAGCGTCCTGTATCTTGCATCTTGCATCTCCTTTTATTGGCTTCTTATCAAAACTGTTTCTCTACCCAAATTGGGTGGGGGTTTTCCTGCTGGGCACCGGCAATAGAGGAACAGGAGTGTTATCGCAGCCGAGAGTCATTATTTCACAATGTGTTACGTAGCAGGTGAGAGTTTCAGCTCCTTCTGTGCAGAGGTTGGGCTGGTTTGTTAGCATATCTTAAAGCCCCGAGAACCCTGAATTCAGAAAGATACTGGGCTACTGTCTGGAGCTACAGGTACTGCCTGTCCAACCTCCCACAATTAAGAATAATTCCTGCTGCATTCAAGGAGAAACCTGTACATTCAAAGAGATATCTTGCATCAATCGTGTACCTACTTTTAGGCTGTGTATTAAATGAGTTAACAAAAAAAGTGTTTTAAATAAAGTAGCAATATGACTCTATGTATGTGGTCATGTAAGTGGCCTCTGTGATTTATTTAATGTATTTTTCCTCATTCAGATTTGTTTGCTGGTCAAAATTACATTCCAACAGAGTAAGTTCTGCAGAGCAAGATGAGGTCTTTGACGGTAATTGCTTAAGTGCAGCTGGAATGAAACAGCTGAAGTGGTTAATCCCCTGGGGTATTATATGTCCTGCTTTTATATTTCTTGCTTTTCTGTTAACAGCCCATTATTGGAGTTTGAATTGCTACATGGGAATCTTGTTAAGTGTTCCAGTAACCTTACCAAAGCAAAGCTGACTTGAGCAAGTTCTTAAACTGGGTTGTGGAGTTCAAACAGAACCTTGTTGTATTGCAGTGAGCTGCCTTGATTTAGGGATATCAGGGAGTGATACACAAGGCGGAAAAACCTTCACTCTTGTATCTTGGTCTTTTGTGGAATGCAGGGCCCTGTGCAGAATCACATACACAAGTCCTGTCATTGACACCTTCAGCACCTAGGGTTGTGCAACACTGACCACCTTCCTCCCAGGCCACTTTTTTTGCACAACGCTATACAATTTCGAACCTGCAGGGCAAGATCATTGTGCTGACTCTAAAGAAACGTCATGCATAACATGAAACTAAGGAAACAAATTAAAGTGAAAGATATTGAATGAACAGCTATATCTTTGAATTTCTCTTCAAGGCCACAGCTGCATGCTTTGAGCAGAATGTATCAAAGCCCAATTAGTGCATTCACCCCTGGCAGATTAGATTGTTTTGCATGAACAGAGAAAAGGGTGGTGGGGAAAAAGAAATGTACACGTCCAGGGCATTAACATATTTAAATTCTACCAAGACAAGGCAGAAAAGCAGAAGGAAAGACCTTTTGAGTCTTAAGCTGTATTTAACTTTTTCCTGTTATGTCTATTTTCCCATCTAGTATATTCGTGTTTACAAAACTTTTGCCAAAATGCAGCACAGTCAAGCAAGGTCCTGAGTCACATCCTCCTGGTGTTTGTTTTGCAGAGCTGTTGATGGACCGGCCTCCTGAAGAGGGCGCTGTAGAATGGGACAGAGCAACTCTGAACCAGACACTGACTCCTCTGATGTAAGGGCTGGATGAAAGACACAGTGAATCACTGTGGGAGGGAGGAGCAGCTGAAGAAATATGTATTCTATATGTATGCCAACGTGAAACAAACACCTTAAAGGGGAACTGCAGACCTGTTATTAAATCTCAGTAACAAAATACATTGATGTTATAGAAAAATACAAATTTTGAATTAAGCACAAAACCTTGGACTTTGTGTAAGTACTGTATAGTCACCATGTTGTTGAGAATTCACAAGAATTGTGATGTGAAGCGGCCCTTCCTGCTTACTAGTCACTATAATAAGTAAGGTGATGTGTGAGCGAATAAATACAAATTGTGCAGCATACATTTCATCACAAAACTTTTCTAATGTGATCTGCATGCAGTTAACAAGTACGTAGTATTTGCTGGCAAAACTCTGAGAATCAAAAGCAATATTTCTATTAGATTAAAGGAGATGTGTTCATAAGCCTGCTTGTTTTCAATGTCATAGAGCCGCCTCATGTCACCAGAAGTTTTGTTGCCTCGTTCTGAATCGCACAACATGGAACTACACATACCTGGAAATTTAATCTATTTTGTGATGTAATTTGTAAGACCTCAAATTTACTGTATATTTAGTGTATTTGTATTGCGGTTTGAAGTGCACTCATCAATGCTGAATCTTTCTAACCCCATAAAATGCAAATAGAGTAGCAGTTCCCCTTTAAGGGTGCAGAAAGTTATCCAGGTGAGACAGTTGTGGTGTTGTCAGTCATATAAGCATTCAAGCCCCTTGTGGGGAGGAGCTGGCCTTTTGGCATAGTGATCTGTTCAGCTGCTCGCTTAGGGAGGGCAGCCCTGGGAATGGGCAGCGCTTGTATCACATTCTGGAGCATTCTGTAATAAACAGGAATGTTGATAGGTACAGTGGGCCCAGGTAAAACAAATGCACAAATCTACCATAAAATAAAGAGAAAGTAAGATTTAGGAAAGGTCTTTTCCTTACAGCATGAAGCAAATTGTCAAAACAGTCAAACAAAAGTCTAAGCTTCTGTTGTGTTTCTAACTAGACATCTTTGTGGCCATCCCTATGAGTTAAGTCAGACAGCAAAGTGTTATACGGACTCCAAAATAAAGTCGCTTTCTGAGACTCTGAGACACTCAAAACTCATGGGATATAAACCACGAAAGTTCCAGCAGTCACTCCTTCCATCAGTCAGTTTGCTTCATACCCTATCTCCCTCGGGTGCTGCTTGCGTAACAGAGGATCTGTTTTCTGATACTGGAAACCTCTGTTTCCTGGTTTTTAACAGTCAGTTGCGGTACTTACCAATTGTGGTACACTAATCAGTCTGTTAACTGGGATGGCAGGTCATTCTCCACAGGTTTGTGGGTAATATAGCTCAGACAAGTCTCCATATGGTCTTAACCTACTGCTCTCACAGTGCATAGTGCTGTTGGATTGAATCCCGGGTCCATCCACACATTGTACAAGCAGCTTAATCCACAGAAGTTAGTAGGTACTGTAGGTTAAAGGAAAGACTATCTTGCATTTAACACATACAGTAGCATCTTTTGCACTGAAGGTGTTTTATGTCAAAACATGAACAGGCCTATGTTAGTCAATAAATCGAAATTTGTGCCCTGTGTAACAAAACACAGCCATCAGTGTCCAGGAGTAAACATTGCAGTCTAGATGTCTTTGCTTTCTATTAAAGAAGGAACTGAAAATACTAATGAAGCTAAGAAAATGAAATTTGCTGAACACTCCTTGTTGACTGCTGGAGAGAAGTAATTAGTTTTGCGGTTATGTGGTTTGTGTGTGACTATTTCCATTGCTGTTATGCTGCTGAATGGGGTGCCGCACTCAACTGCCCAAGATCTCAGGTTACCAGTGTTATTTTTTTAACACCGAGCAGGGCTTTCTCTAGGTCTCCCATGTCCTGATTGTGTTTGCTCTTGAAAGACATCACAACAGAAGGTTACAAATGAGACTAGGGTTTCAGCCCATCGACCCTATTTGGTAGTTAGATCCAGGGATCTCATCCAGCTATTTCTTAAAACAAGACAGGACATCAGCTTCAACAGCATGGCTGGATAGCTTGTTCCAGACTCCCACAACCCTTTGGGTAAAGAAGTGTTCATGATTTTAAACATAGTGGTAGTTTCCACTTGTGTCTTCTGTTTAATTTTGTTTTCGAGTTTTATTTCGGTCTTGTTTATCCAGTCACCTGCTTCAGAATAATGTTAATGTTGACTACTGCTCCTTGAAGTTCCCGATTAGACAGTCTGCATTGGAACTGAATTGTATCTTCCAAGATAAGCTCATAGGATGTTCACCCTGTTAGGTCACTCTGTCATGTAATTTGCTTTCTGAACTGCAGTCAGTCCCAAATTCACCATAATTGTCTTCAGGCCAGCTGTTACCAAACTGGAATCCAGGGATGTCCTCCGAGGGGGTTAGGGAGGGGCCTGCCAGTAATATCCCAGCACACAGCAAGATCGAGTTAATAATCCATCAACTCAGAACCATGGTTCTTTACCATTTTTGATTTTTTAAACACAGTCATTAATACTAGTATCTGAGTTTGAGATTGCCTTTGATCTATGGGGGATACAGATGTGTGAGATTGGGGTGGGGGTCACTGCTAAAATAGAGGGCCACTGGCCAGGAAAGTGTGGAAACCCTTGCTGATCTTTGCTGGGAGTTAGAAGGAAAAGATTGTACTTTACATGCACATTTCTGTATTCATTTTCACTGTCTATCGTATGGTTTTATAATATTATTTTGAGGGTGGTAATCTTAAATCCTTCTTGGATGTATTGACTTGTATATCCAGCCAGGAGTGTCATGTTGCTCAGCTTTTAGGGGAGCACCTCTCTAACCCTCACTCTGCAGGAGCCATAGCCTCCAGTGGACCCTGGTTTGGGAACCACTGCTCTACTCTTATTCAGAACGTACTAGTTTCAGGCACACTAGCCACCGGGCATGCAAATGTGAATCGCAGGTGGCTGAAATCACCTTTATAATTTTGACCGCACCATGTCCTGGCGCAAGGAAGGGGACTGAAGAACAGTACAGGTTCTGAAGGTTTGTAGAGCTGAAGAGCTCAGCCCGCTAGCACAGGAGAAAATAGACTCTGCCGGCTCAGGCTCTACTGGATTGTGCTCTCACTTAGCTGTCTGGTGTTCTTTTTTGACAGGATGGGCTAATGAACATCAAGACTTTTGTGGAAGATCAGCTTCAGACCAGCATGGTGTGTCTTTGTTCATTATTATTCTTGTTATTAGTAGTACAAGTATAATTGCTACCACTGTTATGACTATAGCTTGAATCTGTAGTTTTATTTGTCAAATCCTGTAATGATGTCTGTTTTCTTGTAATAATCCCTGTAGATGGTGGGGATAGTTATCGGCGCTGGTATATCCATCATCCTCATTGCCATCCTGATCTTCTTTGTCCTCCGGCGGGTCCAGCTAAGGAGTGAGTCTTCAGCTGCTGCCTGTAGGGAGAAGATAGCCCCTGAAACATTTGCTAATTTTTCTTACTGTTAACTGCTGAAGGATATTGTACAGTATCACTCGGACATCACCTCGCCTGTTAACCTCAAGAACAGGATTGTGAAACCCACATGAAACACACATATACAGTAGCAGTTGTCAGATGTCCATTATTTCAGCACCCTGAGGTCTTTTTACTTCTGCTTTTTAAAAAAAATCACACATCTAGTCAGATGTGCCACACACAATAACTCAGTTATAAAAACCCCATGCTGTTTCTTTGTTATTTAAGTTGTCTGATTATTGAACTAGTTAGTAGAGTTCATGTAGGCGTAGCTTCTGCTCAGTATGGAATCTGTGCATTGTTTCTAGGATGGGACAAAGTTACAAGATCTTTATATTTCCATTTAGTGGATCTTCCCAAAAACCTGTCCAATAGGTAGGAGACAGAGACTTTCATACTTGGTCCACTGGACTGATCTGGGTGGAAGGGTAGATTAGCCTCTTAAGAGTTGGAAGAAGCAAAATCTGCAGGGATAGCGGTACATTTTAAGAGATCTCCTTTTTTTCTGTTCCCATGCTCTGACCCAGAGCTCCAGGCTCAGGAAGCTCCCAAATATCGCTTCCGCAAGCGAGACAAGGTCATGTTCTACGGCCGGAAGATCATGCGTAAGGTCAGTACAAGACTGTTTGGTTCTCTAGTAGTTTGTTTATAACTGAGAAGTCCCTGCTGAGGGAGATCTTTTAAGATATTTTCTGTAAGGGGGGCTTGGGAGGGTGTGAGAGTGGTAACTTGAGACTGATTTTGATTAAGGCTTAGCCAGGCCTGATTTCATAATCTGTTTTTATCCTGTGCATGCTGCCCTGTCCGACATCCTTCTGTCTCTGTGCACCCAGGTCTCTCAGTCCACATCGTCTCTTGTGGGGACCACAGCCTCCCGTCCACGTTTGAAGAAGAAACAGAAGATGCTCAACATTGCCAAAAAGTAAGGTTCCCTTTTTTAATAAAAAGAGACTGTGAAACAGATAAGAATGCCTTTGAGCAGCTGTCTGATCCTTGTCAGGTTTTGTCAGCTACTGTAGCACCAAATGCTGATTATTCCAAGCCCGTTACCCTTATTTGGAATACATTTGCATAGGCACACATATGAAATGAAAATTAGCACTTGTTATGTTTGCTTTTATGGTGGTTCTGTAGTACAGTGGTTAGCATTGCTGCCTTACAATGCTGGGGCCCTGGGCTCAGTTCTTGACCTGGGGTGCTATCTGTCGGGAGTGTGTATGTTCTCCTTGTGTATGAGTGAATTTCCTCTGGGTGCTCTGGTTTCCTCCCACAGTACAGAGACATACTAGTAGATTAATTGGCTTCTGGGAACATTGCCTATGGTGTGTGTGTTTGTGTCTGTATCTGTGTGTGTGGGATGCAGTGTACTAGAGTGGTGTTCAGTGTGTATCTGTCTTGCTCCCATTCCTTGCCAGGATAGGCTGCAGCTCCCCTGCAACTGTAAATTGAATGAAACCATTAGAAAATGGATAGATGTTTCCTTTTCTCGTTTGTCATCCAAGCAAGTACTGGCGACTCCAGCTGATATAATCGGAAATTAATGAGTCTGTTATTGAATGGTTGTCTTTGTTGTTTCCCTAAAGCAGGGAAAACACATTCTTTCCCTGAAACACATTTCAGGGTTGACTTCTGTCAGTTAACACAAGTTCAACCAATGTGCACTTTCTCTGCCTTTTCTGTCCACTTTTACTGCAGTGATAAGAAGGGCAAAGATAGGCAGAGGAGGGATCTTGTACTTCCCATAAAACCTAATTTCACATACTGGAATCTTATCTGTAGAAAATATTGACAGCGCTGCTGTGCACTCATGCTTGATATTCTCTGAGCTGGAGAAATCAATTTTACACATTTGACAATGTGCCAGGGGTAGTATTTAGCTTTCAAGAGAAAGCAAAAAAGCTCCAAATTCAATTGAAAATGCAGCCTCAGAGTTTATCTCACTTCTTTATTTTGCGACACTTTTGCGGTTCTGTTCTTCCTTTTGCTGAAGTTGTGATATCCTATGTCTACACAATCTCCCAGCAGAAAAAGAAAAAGGAAGTTTCTAAACAGACTTCAAAATTTATTGTTGTAGCTGTGTACAAACAGCCTTGCCCCTTATTGCCTTCTGTGGCAGTGCTATTGTGCAGCACAGACATTTTGTGGTTCACTGGTGCTAATTAGCTATGAAGAGCTCTTTTTTTTTCCTGCAGCTAATGTGGAGTGGCTGCTATGAATAATATTACCAGAATCAGATTAGGGAATCTAGATATAATGGAGATGCCAAGAGCAAATGCAAGAGAGGTTGCAAATGTGAGCATGTCATTTGTGTTCATCTAGGTCTTGTAATTTGTAGATGTTAAACAATTTGCTGAACAATCAGTTGATCCTTTAAAGAAGCCAGTGTATCATCTTAGACAATATGACTGAGTAGTTTATTCCGCAATCTCACAGCCTCCTGTGTAACGTCAAATTGACTTCCTTGTCTCGGTTTTCTGTTGTAGATTTTTGGTTCATGTTTCACAGTTCATCCTGAACAAGTCCACTTGGTAGAATTTGTCACTCCCTTTCATGATTAAGGGGTGTTGTGTGCACACTTTGAAATGCTCATTTAATTTGCTGATAATTAAAAAAATTTGAAAGGTTACAAATGCATCAGATTGCATTGCCACCATATGGCCTGATCTCAAAGGCTAAGCAAGGCTGGGCCTAGTCAGTACTCAAACGGGAGACATCTCAAGGAAAAAACAGGTTGCTGCTGTAAGTGGAGCCATTGGAGCAGTAGATGGCTCTCTACTTTCTGGTCCAAAATTTTCAAAAGCAAGGCTGCCTTCTCCATCGATCTGCTGTACATGGAGGTGCTGGAGCAGAACGGTGGTTGAATGTCAGATGGGGAGGCCACTCTGTCAGTCTCTCTCATTTGGTTTATTCGTTAGAGGATTCCATCCAGCTACATTTTGAGGAATTCCAGGGAACTGGCTTCAGCAGTATAATTGGGTAGCTCATTCATGACACCTACCTCTCTTTTTGTACAGATCACCGTTCAATACATGTGCAAAGTACTGTTTCCTGTTGCACACGGTTCTTTCAGCTCTGTATTTAACCCCACCTGCCCTCTCTCATTCAGGATCTTGCGGTTTAAGAAGGAGATGCCCACGCTGCAGATGAAGGAGCCTCCTCCCTCGGTGCTGGAGGCCGATCTGACGGAGTTTGACGTGGCCAATTCCCACCTGCCCTCCGAGGTGCTCTACATGCTGAAGAATGTCCGGTACGTCCATCTTCCTCGCTCTTGCTGCCTTGCTCCGTCAGATCCCCAAGACAAGAGGCACGGAAGTGATGATCTGCGTCTCTTTGCAGGGTGTTGGGCCACTTTGAAAAGCCCCTGTTCCTGGAGCTGTGCAAGCACATGGTGTTCCTGCAGTTCCAGCAGGGGGAGTATGTCTTCAGGCCGGGACAGCCAGACAGCAGCATTTACGTGGTGCAGGATGGGAAGTTAGAGCTGTGCCTTACTGGACAGGTGGGTTGGGGCAGGATCTGGCAGGAAACAAAACATCAAGCTGTGTAATCTTCTGCAGCAGCAGTTCAGACTCTTTCCTCATTGTTGGGAATCAGTTTTGGAAGGCTCCAGTGCAGCGTTTTCCTGCAGCTGAGCCAAACAATTACTGTGTGTGAACTTGCGTTACTTTGATTGTAGGGTATTTTTGGCATCATTTGCTGGGGTAGGATGACATATTTGGAAATTAGGTGCAAATAGCTGATCAATAACCAAGTATACACAATCTCTCTCAATGACTGTCCATCCACTTTAAACATAAAATAATGAAAAGTCTTAACTGCGGATGATATTCTATTAGTATAAAGTGAAAAACAGACGTGTTGACAAGAACTTGTTTTGTAGGTGTTGTCACAGCAGGCCCACTCTATGAAAGGGTTGATGTCACAACCCTGTTAGATTTGGGGTGACAGGTTTGTTTGAGAACCTACTGGGGTACTCAGGTTACTAGTGTTGCAGAACACTGTGCCTTCAGTCTGTACACACCCAAAACAGCCCTCCTCATCTCTACACGGGGAGGTAATAATACTGATTTCTTCATGGTTCACAGCTCCTACTCTCTCCACAATAAGTACTGAGCAGGTGCCCCCACTTTTGCAGACACACAGTATTGGTATCTGCTGCTACAGTAGAAAATAAATTCAGCCTTTGTGTTTCATTCTGTTTCTTTCCATCTCGGCTCATTCCATTTAATTCGAAATGAAGTGCTCTTTAGCAGGCAGGACTTTGAAGTATGTAGAGAAGTGGCTGGATATGCATTAGAACAGAATGCCGTTGAACAGCACTGTCCCCTGTTCTGCAAGCCCCAGCCAGTTCAGACACCGTATGTCTTACAAATTGCCAATCTTCTGAGGCCCACATTCTTTTGATGATGTTTAATAATGGGAGGTATATGCACACTGGAGTGTAATAGTGGGAAAAGTAACTAAGTCGGAAAGAAAAGTCAGAGAGTGGGCTGGCAGGGCCTGGGAAATTTCCCTCCAGTTCAGAACTCACCATTGTCTTCTGGTGGTGTATGTCCTTTTGTATAATACACTACCAGAGGGAAATAATTACTATTACAACTTATCATATAACAAATAAGACACCCACTGTTGAGGCCTGAGGTCTCCAGCTCTGGTTTTGGAGAGTCCCGATCCATTGACTCTTATATGTCACTCTAGCTCTGAACAGTGGTTAGGGCTCTGAACTCTAGATCAGAAGGTCATTGGATCAGTTTCCCAGGAGAGGAGTTCCTCCATGGGCTAGCATTCTCCCTTTTCTCACCCTCAGTTCTGGCTAGAAGGCTAACTTTGTTTCCTCTGTGTTGTGCAGGATGGGAAGGATGGGGTTGTGAAAGAAGTGTACCCAGGAGACAGTGTTCATAGCCTGCTGAGCATTCTGGATGTCATCACAGTGAGTCTCACTGGCCAGCCTAGGCTGGTGTGAAAAATCTCTGCTCTGACCAGCTGATTTCAGCTTTCACTGATATTTGAAGTTTAATCATTCTCCAATCTGTTAATTTTCTGTCTGAGTTAGGTCTGCAGTGAATGTAATATTAGTTTTATTTGTGAGTGGTGGTGCTCATGATGTCAGAAATAACGCCTGCAGTGGGGCCTTACAGTACTAATAAATTTAGGAAGGTGAGGAGCAGAACTTCCAGTGCCACTAGACAGGGGGCACTATACTGGCATCTGTATAGTTATACTTGCATGTGCTTTGCAGGGTCATCAGAAGCCTTACCGGACAGTGTCTGCGCGAGCAGCTGAGATGTCGACTGTGCTGAGACTTCCTGTGGAAGCCTTCCTGTCCATCTTTGAGAAATACCCAGAGAGCTTGGTGCGAGTGGTACAGGTGAGGAGAGCTCTGTCCTCTGTCCATGCGATCTGTGTGCACTAGTCACCATACGCGCGTGAGTGTGCACGCAACTGGCCTTCATTTACTGGTTTTAATTGTTTGCTTGTATGGTTTTTTTTCTTTCTTCAGATCATTATGGTTCGTCTACAGAGGGTAACAGTGCTGGCTTTGCACAACTACCTGGGTCTAACCAATGAGCTCTTCAGCCATGTAAGTCGCTTCAGATTTCGTCATCTCCTGTAAGGTACAGTGCAGGATAAGAGCAATCACAGAGACATCAGGATTGGGCTTGTCATTGCAAGTAACTTTCTTCAGCAATTACTTGTGAATGTTTTTCTTTGAACCTTTAAAATGTGTGAGGCTGGGAGCAGTGTCTCCCCATATAAGACTGTTTTCAGTAGTTGTACCATCTGCTTTGAGTGCTGGAGTTTTACAGTACTTGTACTATTTGCAAGCCATAGGGTTTCCATAAGACTCAATACAGCTAATTTCTCATGTCTCATATCGTGGGTTTCTGTACACTTAATTACACCTGTTAAGGCACCCCAAAGATCAATACATTTACAAATACAGTAGGTGAAAACCGTCTCTCTTTACAAATAAGGAGCACATTGGATAAAAAAAAAAAGTTTTGAAAATCCATCTGCTAATCTCCCACATGTAAAAATGTAATTGCTCTGACATTTTTGAGGCAGAACTCTCTGGAGGACCACATGCAGTTCTTTGGAAATCCAGTTGGGCCAGTTAAAGGGGGATGACCTCTGTGTATAAAACAACAGTCTGATACGGTCTGACATTCTTTAAACTGAAGGTATTCAAATCCACAGGAAGTTCATGTAGCATGCTTTTATATCAGGTTGTGCCTCACTTGCTGCCTGTCCTGTGTCTCCTCTCCCTTCTCCAGGAGATGCAGCCTCTGCGGTTGCTGCCCCAGGCCTCTCACCCGTCCCGCACCAGCCCCGTCCGGCACAGCAAGCGTTTCATCAGCACGTCCATCTGTGAGGACCACCGGGACAGCACAGCCAAGTCAGGGGAGCTAGCCGGTAAATACTGTTGATCTTCCATGCAAGGACATTTGTGAATTGTTCACTCATGACATTCTGTTACACATGCAGAGGACACTTGGGAATACTGCATCCGTGTAGTATCATCCAGAATGCAGGCAAAATTGATGCTTTGAGCAATACTTGGATATTGCAGTTCTTACTTAAGCTTGTAAAAGCTTAATTTAATTTTTTCCAACCCCAGCTCTGCCCAGTGTAGGTTTCACTGGACAGTTCCTTGGAATTAAGTCACACTGCCGGCTAATGATCCTTCAATGCTGTGCCCTGCTGTTGGCATTTATGCAGGTGGTGATCACGTTCGGGATGGTGCCACAGTGCCAACCTTAAGCCGTGCCATTTCCATGCCAGTGGATATTGCAGGTAAGGCTGACAGAAGCACTTTGTTTTGTTTTTTTGAGTGACACACTTTATGCTTGCTTAAGGATACACTAGGATTCTTAATGTAATCTGATTGAAAAGCAGAAAGGACTCCAAACTATTTTGGCCATCATCCAGTAAATAGGGGTGTTAATTTGGTTTTTCTTATACAGAGGCTGAAGTGAGTCACACTGGTCTATAGGCTTTACACTACTGAGTAGGCTGCGGCAGGTTTGCTCATTTCCGGAGATCTGACCAGGTTCACCTCCATACAGGAGGACAATTAATTAAAGCTTTAAACACATGCCGTGATTGTGTCTGAGCAGGGATCCAGAAGGGCTTGCGCTCTGACTTCGACATGGCGTATGAGAGGGGGCGTATATCTGTGTCCCTGCAGGAAGATGGGACTGCTTCTGCCACGCCCACTTTCTCACGGGTAAGCAGGCTCATCGAGGCAGGAAGAGCTTTGTAAGACTGCTGTAGTAGATGTCTAAGACTTAATTACTGGAAAATGCTGAAGCTGTAGAGACAATTAAAAACAGCCTTTATGGTTTCTTTATTGACTCATTTACTACAGAATGACACATTTCCAGATATCACCACTTTAATAATTTGATATTAGACTAATTTTATTGTAGCTTTGAGATTAAATAGCTACCAAGTATTTGCAGTTTTTCCTTCACCTGTTTCAGTTAATAACTGAGATTATTTCAAAGCAATTACAGGTTAATAATTGAGTTAATTGCATTTAATAATTTTGAAAAACGTACTGAGAATTAATTAATTTTTTTTTCCTTCTCCCTCCTTTCAGTCGGTATCCCAGGAGCCCCGCGAGAGGAAGTCTGTAACAGTAGAGGAGCAGCCCTCAGGGGTGTACTTGTACCCCGAAGAGGACGTCCTAGACAGTCTATATGGGCCACTTCATGGCAAGCATGCCAATAATCTGTTCGAGGAGGCCAAGAACGAAGTGCTCAAACTCATGCGCATTGAGGTAACCTCCTCAAGCCCCCTTCAAATAATACTGTATGTGTTGCGACTTGAGACTGGGTCATTTTGCTCATTTGTTTCCACGTCTCTCTCTGGTTCTGCCCATCCAGGACGCAGCTCTGCTGAATGGGCGCATCACACTGCATCACGCCAAGGCTGGGTCAGTGCTGGCACGACAGGGTGACCAGGTAGGCACGGGGATAGGAGGGCACCCTGGGAAGAGATATTGGCTTCTGCGCTGAATGACCTCATAGTGCCTGAGAGCAGTGGTTAGTGTGCGGAAATTGCAGGGCATGGGTTGGAAAAGCTTCTGTCTCTCATCCCTGTGATCTAATCTCCCGCCAGGATGTGAGTCTTCACTTTGTGCTCTCCGGCTGCCTGCATGTGTATCAGCGCATGATTGACAAGCTGGAGGATGTGTGCCTGTTCATCACGCAGCCTGGGGAGATGGTGGGCCAGCTGGCTGTGTTGACCGGAGAGCCTCTTATCTTCACCATCAAAGCCGTGAGAGACTGCACCTTCCTCAAAATCTCCAAGTCCGACTTCTACGAGTGAGTCTACCCGGAGCTTGGTAACAAGCTAAACAGTGCAGCTTATTCACAGTCTCCAGCAAGTGGGCAACAGCATTTTGTTTTTGCTTTATAATAATAAACTTTATTTTATATCGCGCCTTTAAAGGTGGCTTCTCAAAGCGCTTTACAGAAATGACAGCAACAATAAAAAAATACACAGGATGTGCACAATGAGAATACACAATGAGAGGAAACAGTAGATGGGAGTACTGAATACAGAACAGAGGGGTAAAGAACAGAATCAGTTAAGTAAAGGCTCTTCTAAAGAAGGTTTTGAATCTAGATTTGAAGGAGTTTAGAGAAGGTGACTCTCTGATATCCTTGGAGATAGAGTTCCAGAGCTTTGGGGCATAACAGGAGAAGGCCCTGTCATCCATAGAGTGTAGATGGGCTTGGGGGACACATGGGAGACCAAAAGAGCGAAGGGTGCGGGGTGGGTAGTAGGACGATAGAAACTTGACAGGAAGCCAGTGCAAGACTCCAGGATAGGAGTAATGTCATCACTTGAACTAGACCTGGTCGGGATTCTGGATGCCGAGTTTTGGACATACTGGAGTACCCCAGCGAGTAGAGTGTTACCATAGTCAGTTCGGGAGAAAACAAATGTGTTGATCAGCTTTTCAGCCCCAGTTAGCAATAACATAGGAAATAGTCTAGTGATATCTCTGAGGTAAAAGAAAGATGTTTTGACAATATGTTGCAGCTGTGGGTCAAATGTCAGGCCTGAATCAATCAGGTTTTTCAAATTGTACTGAAGTTCAAGTACAGTGCCATCCACAGATAGGGTTACAGCACTGGCTTTACAAGGTTGATGGGGGGTGCCAATAAGCATGAATTCACTCTTGTCACAGTTTAGATGAAGGAAATTGAGTCATCCATGTTTTTATGTCGGGGATACAATTAGATAGAATAGAGACGGCCACATCAGTGTCAGGTTTGGTATGGATATAGATTTGAGTATCGTCAGCATAGAAATGATAGTTGAATCCATGTGATCTTAAAAGCTGACCAAGTAGAAACATGTAAATGTTGAAACGTTAGGGGGGTGGGGGGCAATATCGTATCTAAGGAACAGTAGACTTGACGAGTCCAATTTCATGCCTAAATCCGCCAAGAGAGATAAAGTGACATTAATAAGTAAAGTAAGACTTTTGAGAGCAATGTCAGAAACTCCAAACACAGTTTCAAGACGAGAAAGCAAGATATCATGGTTAACACTGTCGAAAGCAGCACTGAGATCAAGAAGAATGAGGATAGAGAGAGAACCAGAATCAGAAGCTATTAGAAGGTCTTAGTGACTTTGACCAGGGCAGTTTCTGTGCTGTGAAGTTGTCGGAAACCAGATTGTATGGGTTTGGAAAGGTTATTTGTAATGAGTTGGTGTACTGTAACTGAATTGTAACAGTGTGTTCTAGAATTTTTGCAAGAAAGGGTAGATAGGAGATGGGTGCAAATTGTTTAGATTGTCCTGAGCCATGTTTGGCTTTTTTGGTTTGGCGGTAATGGCAGCAGTTTTGAGGATTGTTGAGGATTGTTGGTACAACACCAGTGCTCAAGGATTCATTTAAAATATTGAGGACAATGGGGTAGAGAGAGGTGGAAAAGGACTGAAGTAAATGTGTGGGAATTGGATCTAATATAAAGGATGGATTTCATATGCGAAACCAGTTTACTGATGGATGAAGAGTCAAGAAGAGAAAAGTTAGAGAGAAGGGAATCTGTAAAGTTAGGCAAGCAGGGAAGAGGTGTGGAAATGATACGTGAAGAGAATGTGATGTGTTGTTGATCTTGGAGCTAAAGAAAACTAAAAATGTGTTTGCGAAAAAAGTTGCGATGAGGCAGGTAATGTGGCAGTTTGGCTTTAGCAGTCAGTTGATAGTGGAGAAAAAGTGTCTAGAGTTGTTATTTTCAATGATGTGAGAGAAGTAGGTGGATCTAGTAGACTGTATCGTATCCTTATATTCAGACAAGTAATCTTTCCAAGCCTGATAATGTACAGTACATTTAGGCTAGAAAGACTCCACCTATGTTCAAGTTTATGGGAGACTGCCTTCATTGATAGATAAAAGATAAGAGTGCTATTAAGCAAATGTATTTCCCCTCTAAAGGATCAGAGGTAGAAAAACTAGATAAGGAGGATAGAACAGGATGTGAACACAGGCTGATAAACTGATCGCCAGTTGCGAAAACTTATGGAACGTGAGGGGAAAGAATTAGAAACGGGTAATTCTAGATTGAAAAACCTGCTTTGCAGAAGGTTTTGTCTTCATAATCAGAATCAGTTATATCAATGATATTTCTTAGTAAAAAAATGACCCCTGGTTGTCTATCTACATGTTTTTTTTGTATGCCCATGGGGATCAATGCTGTTTATTTCTAAATTGCCAATGTCAGTGGTATGAGTGTCCCTTTGACCCCGGAAATTTTTTTTTTGTGGACATTTTCCCCCTGCAGGATCATGCGGGAGCAGCCCAGTGTTGTCCTCAGTGCTGCCCACACCGTGGCAGTGCGGATGTCAGCATTCGTGCGCCAGATGGACTTTGCCATTGACTGGATGGCTGTGGAAGCAGGCCGGGCACTTTACAGGTAACAGACTCCCTTCTTCACAGGCGTTGTCTTAAAGTGTGATAGCTGACACTGATCCTGCTGCTTTTATCACTTTTAATTCTGGTGTGAGTGAAGTCCTCCAGAATATTGCCGTTCAAAGTCAATAAAAGAATTGATCCTATTAACTGCTGTTAAGAGCTTAGAGTCAAATGAAAGCCAGAGGGACTTGTGATACTTCAGGAATAGAGTTGGAATTAAGATTATAATTCTCCTCTCCAGGAACTATCTCAAACTGCAGTGCATCTTCTCAGCATATGTATGGAGTATAATGAGCAGGTTACAAAGTTCTTATCATAAGGGTAAAAGAGCAGAGCTGCAAGTACCAAATGAGACAAACGAGTGCAGGTGTTACACAATCAATCAGGAACTAGGCAGAATGCCCAGGACCTCAAGACCCCAATATTTACTAAATATTTACCTCAGTCCTAACAAACAAGCAAAGTGGCCAGTAGGTAAAGAGAAAATGCTTTTTAATTTACTCTAAAAGATAAACAAACTGCAAACTAAATAAAGGCCTAGCTCTTCTTTGAGTTCCTAACCACATTGTTCTGCCCCTATCAAAACTGGACAGGCAAGCTTCTTTCCAGTTTTCTAGAACGATCCCTCTCTGAGACTCATCCAAAATCTCAAACCTCACAGTTCCTTAGTTCCACTCAATTTGTTAGTCTGTAGCTTCCTTCCCTTTCCTTCTTTGGTGCAGCTTGCATGGCAGAGAATTTGTCGTCTGTTCTCAGATGTCAAATGGTGGCTGATGTTAGAAGACAACAAGGAGGACACATTGTCCCCCGACCAATTGCCTTGTGTCACCTGGTTAGGTAACGTGGGGCAGCAGCTCATTCCCCACAGCATTCTGGGGAATGTAGCCCAGACAGGAATCTCCATTTTGTCTGGATTCACTATTCTCTCACACTGTATCCTGCCTAGTAGTGTGGATGTGATGACTCCTGCTTATTCCTTGCCCCTTGTGTCCATCCACTCCAGGCAGGGGGACCAGTCAGATTGCACCTACATTGTCCTGAATGGACGTCTCCGCTCGGTCATCCGTAAGGCCAATGGCAAGAAGGAGCTGGTAGGAGAGTATGGAAGAGGGGATCTCATAGGAGTGGTGAGGACAACAACACATTTTATACGCCAACAGACCGCAATGGCTCAGCTGGAAATGGGATCTCGGGGGTGCTAGGTGGTGATACTTACTGATTAGATTGAAGATTCAGAGGCCCAAGGTAGAATGAAGACCTATTTTTTTCCAGAACAAGAATTGTCTGTCGCTGATCAGCAAGAATGTAATATTTAACATGGCTGCTAAGAAGGTAGAGAACCATGGTGGAGAATGTTGAATTTAAAATCTGAACTCTATATGAATATCCCACGGACATGACTCAGGCCTCCTGTGCAGCTGATCATGAATGTTTGGATGCTGAACACAGTGGGATTGGATCACAGTGAGCTGAATGGGAGTTACAGTTGTGTTTTGAAATGGCAGTGCCTGGCATAGACACCCAGTAACTGTTTTATCTTGTTCCAGGTGGAGGCACTGACCAGGCAGCCTCGTGCCACCACTGTCCATGCAGTCCGTGACACTGAACTGGTGAAGCTGCCTGAGGGCACCCTCAACAACATTAAGAGGAGGTACCCACAGGTCTGTGGGTATTGGCAAGCATGGGGAGCGGTTATTGGTGTTTTAAACCCCCGAGGAGATTTAGAAGACAAACTTGAGATAATCTGAAGTTTCCTTTTGTTACAAAACATCTTTTGTGCATTCTGTTGGATTCTCTTACTGTTCATGCTTAGATCATTATAGTCCAAGTGAAATTCTAAATTCATGTGTTTTGTTTCCCATTCTCATTGGCTTTGTATTGCTGTGCTGAAGCCTAGAAATAATGAATTACCACTCATTATTGACCATGATCTTCCACTCTTTAAGGTTGTGACCAGACTGATCCACTTGTTGGGACAGAAGATTTTGGGGAACCTCCAGCAAGTTCGAGGCCCTTTATCTGGTCAGTCATGGAAGCTTAATATCATTTTGAGGAACATGAAGCTTGGCTTGGTCTGTCATTGGACAGTTTTGTGTTGCAGTACACTTGTTACTTGATCAGAATTTGGTGTTGGCTAGGTTCAGCCTAGACATTATTAGTCTGGAATAGCTACTAATGTCTAAATGGTCTAGATAGGCTGAATGGCCTCCTTTTATTTAAAACCTTTATTATGTTCTCAAGCACAATGAAAGCACTCGCCCTGAAGGGAAAAGACAGCATGCATTAAGGAGCCCTTCTTTCTCTCAGGTTCAGCTTTGGGATTATCCGCAGTGGGCACCAGCCACGACGTTACCAACCCTGCCAGCAATCTGTCCACTGTGGCAGTGTTGCCCATCTGCGATGACGTGCCAGTCAATGCCTTCAACCTGGAGCTGAGTCATGCCCTCAATGCCATTGGTACGTCTTGTTCCTCTCTGGTGCAAGGAGAACTGTGGTTGTCACGGTTGCAACTCAGCCCAACAGGACAGAAGAGAAGATGGAGTAATAGAAGATGGAAAATGGAGATATTTGCTAAATCAAAGGGGTTTGTCAGAAGAAACCAAAAGAACATGTAATAAGGATCCCAGCCATACTGTACTCACTTGATCACCTGCCCCTGGTGTTAGTTTATGTGATAAAGTCAGTGAGAAAGAGAATAAAGGAATGTCTTCAATTAATGTTTTAATTTTTTTTTTTCAGGTCCCACCCTCCTCTTAACCAGTGACATCATCCGAGAGCGCCTGGGAGCTTCAGCTTTGGATAGGTGAGTGGTCAGTGGTCGTGTGTGTTCTTGAACATAAGTGTGTGGTCTGATCTCAGCTTTGATAGTCATTGAGATGTGATGCTATGGACTCATGTTTCTAGCAGAAAGACTGAGCTCTAGCGGAAAGACTGGTTAAACAATAGTGGCCTATTTGTGGAGGGAAAGTGGCCCATGTGGAGAGAAATTTTGAAGTTTAAAAGGAACTGACCAGCAAATGTTTAAATCTCACTTTGTGACTTTTCTCTGGCTCCTTTTCATTGACCCTGCTCTTGCGTTGTCTCTGTAGTATTCATGAGTACCGTCTGTCAGGCTGGCTGGCCCAGCAGGAGGATATTAACCGCATCGTGCTGTACCAGACTGACAGCACCATGACCCCCTGGACCCAGCGCTGCATTCGACAAGCTGACTGCATCCTCATTATTGGGCTGGGTGACCAGGAGCCCACTCTGGGAGAGGTAAAACACCCTTCTCTTCAGTGTGCTTGTGCATGTGTGTGGTTGTACATACTGTACCTACGTTTAGTGTTGGACCATCAGGAACCCCACAGAATAATGGTTGGGCCTTTGTGAGCCACAATACCAGTTTGAACAGGCTGAGCCATGTTTTTAGAGCCTTGATGAAACACTTTGCACCCAATCTCTACATGCTCTTTCTTTAGCCGATGCTGCGGTGACACTATGGGTGTGTGAGATTGAACTGTATCATATGTGGGTTTCCAGAGGATTGGGATTCCATAGGATTTCATAGGACATCTGGGAAGGGCCCTGGGCAAGAAAGGTGATGGAAGTAGATCTCCTACCCATTAGGCCACCTATAGATTAACTGTCACCAAAAGGATGTGATCATTTGAGTGAAGATGAGCACTCAGTTCGCTAATATTTTTGTAGTTGTGCTCTTTCACTTCATTCCAGTCTCTTACTACTTCCTGTCTCTTTCTGCATCCTTTGTCCAAAGTCTCCAAGCACTACCTTATTCTCTGAAATTGTTAGTGCTGGTCTTGGGATGGGGCAGGCAGATAGTCTCTCTCCCATCCCCCTCATAACTCTTCCTGTCCGTGTGCTCAGTCTATTTCTCACTGCCTTGCTCTTGCTCCCTGGACAGCTACGAACGAATATGAGTCACCTCTTCACTTCAGATGCCTTTCTTTGATCCCTGATCTCTCTCTCTCTTCTCCCTGTCTCTCAGCTGGAGCAGATGCTGGAGAACACTGCAGTCCGAGCCCTCAAGCAGCTCGTTCTCCTGCACAAGGAGGATGGGCCCGGCCCAGCACGCACTGTCGAATGGCTCAACATGCGCAGCTGGTGCTCCGGGCACCTCCACCTCAAGTGCCCTCGTCGTGTCTTCTCTCGGCGCAGCCCCACCAGGCTGGTAAGGGCACCACGCCCACTAACAGAACTGCCAGTCTGCTCTTTTGTCCATATCATGGTTGGCACAGCAAGGATCTGGACTCTTGGCCAATGCTTGCACCAGTTACCTGATGTTCCTGAGTCAGCATCTGGAGTCACTTTTGCACAAATAGACATCTCTTGAAAATGATACTTAAAAAAATCTGTTATTTGCACTAGTGCGAATTTACATGTGTAGTGACAGACAAAAGATCAGACTTCTCCCAGGTTTGAAAAGCATTGGTAATCATTACATACTATGAGCATATGAGTGGGTTAATACTTGGGATAGCATTTTGCAAAGAGGAAGTATAGGCAGTGCCTATTGACTCTGTGTGCTGTTCTGTGTGTTGTGTTGACAGAGGGAGATGTACGAGAAGGTGTTTGAAAAGACGGTGGACCGGTACAGCGATTTCTCCCGGTTGGCCAGGGTTTTGACAGGAAACAGCATTGCGCTGGTCCTAGGAGGAGGGGGCGCCAGGTATCCGATTGGCCATTGCAGTAACTTGACCAAATCCCTCAACAGCTTGAGAAAAAGCGTCACAGGAAGTGTTGTGGGGGGAAGAGAAGCATTGCACAGTGCTAGGAAGGAAACTTGATGAAGCTCCTAGAGCCCTAATACGAATCCCAACTTCCTTAGTAGTGCTGGACTGCTTTCTGAAGAGACCGCAAACAATTGTAGTGGGACAAGTAAAAAATAAGAGCACTGATCTCCCCAATAAATTGTAAGTGAGCAGAACATTTGTCTTTAGTCCTCTCGGTCAGATCTGTTATGGCAGAAGAGCAGGGGATTGGAGTTTCTAATTTAGTGCAGTTCATTAAATGAGTTGACTCATTTTGATGTGCCATGAAATATTATTTGGACAGCAAAGTATTTGTGCCATACAGTACATTAATAGGGAAAGTGCAGGCATTCTCTAAAGTCCATTAGAAAAAATAAGTTACTACAAACTTTGCCTGTTCTGTGAATATTTCATGGATGCACTTAATACACCGAGCAAATCAGCATAAATACACCAAATAACAAAAGAACACGAAATTTAACACAGTGCTGCACAGTTTTCTGTTGTAAAAAGGAACATAAGTCATGTACCTTTAGTGTTACTGAGTGCAACGATCTTCAGGAAGAATGAGACTACATATTTGAATATGCTTGTTAAATGTGGCAGAAGTTGACTGATGGCAAATTTTTTAACTGAGCCTCAGAGACACTTTAAGAAACCCTCTTGGGGCAGGCTTGGGCCTTCACCATGACCATGGAAAGCCACGGGTGAAAAATAAGAGGTGTAGAGTCAAAACAGGCCATATACAGGATGCAAACCTGGAGTCTGACAGTAACATGCTGACTTGTGATTTGCAGGGGCTGTTCTCACGTGGGGGTGATTAAGGCCATGGAGGAGGCCGGCATCCCCATAGACATTGTGGGTGGAACATCCATTGGCTCCTTCATCGGGGCGCTGTATGCCGAGGAGCGTAGCGCAGTACGCACCAAACAGAGGGCGCGAGAGTGGTCCAAGGTGAGTCACCGAGTGCTGAGACTCAGAACATGCTTCAGTCTTCACGTAAGACACTATCGGTCAGAATCCCATTAAAACAAAACAAACCGAATTGACTCGTAATTGGATTTGGAGTTTAGTTCCCATTGAGTTGTAACCATAAATGTGTACTTGATTTTTTAAAGAAAAAAAACAGTTGTTTGACTAAGAATAAGAGTGTAAGAAAGGTTACAAACAAGAGTAGCCATCTAACCCATCTTCGATAGTAGTTAATAACTCCAAGGGTATTGTTTGGTCATGTTCTTTCAAAGAAATTAAGTTACTGGCTTCCGCAACATGGCTGGATATGTTTTTCTATACTCCTACCTTGGTTTTAAATGCAGTGGCTGTAGAATAAGAGTTCTTCACTGTTTCTTTTCTTCTCCTAGTCCATGAACTCGGTGTTTAAGACTGTGCTGGACCTCACCTATCCTATCACCTCCATGTTCTCAGGGTCTGCGTTCAACACCAGCATCTCCAAGGTGTTTGAGGACAAGCAGATAGAGGTACTGTATGTCCACTGAGCTACGCAGCTGCACCTCGTCCAGCAAAGTGCTGTGGCTGTCAGGCCCCTCTCAGAAAGGGATGACCAGCTCTGCAAGAGCTGTGCTCAGCTCTGTACTCTTACACTAGGGAACACTGCCAGCACAGGTACACCTCATTCAGAAATTGAAAAAAAAGTGAGTCTTAAGGCCGGCAGACTGGATTCTGCACTGAGAGCTCCAAATAAGAGTAGCTTTGTTGTGCCTGTGTTATACTGTAAATAGGGCTGGAATTATTTGTTTTTTCTTCATTTGTAAGATGCTTTTTTAAGGTATTATCACCATTTCGTAACATTGTGTATTTTGGATGATTAAAAAAATCTTCAGCTCCCATAGCGAATTGCCACTAATTTTCTGGTTATTGTAGTACCTGTATATTCAGAATCAGAATATTAAAAATGTACAGTGTGTCGCTTTTTGAACTCACTGCACGTCTTTCATTAAAGGTTCATAACCGCTGTTAGCAAATAATAGTAATATGCACCTAAATTGTTAACTTCCATGTGCTCCAAGAAGCTTTTTCTCAGAAAAAACAAAAAATACAATGTAGTGTTCCACATATACAAAAACTTTCTTATTTGTGTTTCTTATCCATTCTCATTTATACATTACTGAGGTTTATAATATCTTCTATTGCAACAAGGACAACAGGGCAGCAACAAGGACAACATCCATTGCTCAGCAATCTTTGTAAATTGTCCACACGTTGAAAGATATTTTCTTAAAGCTGTAGCACAGGACTGACCTGAATTAATATGTCTGGTCAACATGGACATAGATTGGTTTTAAAAAGTAAACCATTTTATAGGGAGGTCTTCATTGGCTTGGGGTGAAAGAGTACGATAATTATCAGTTACAGTTGTGAGAAAACATTTTTGAGCAGTTTGGAATTATCTGGATTTCTGCAAGAATGGCTTTTTCCATCAGTGACCTTGATTGTTTAAACCATTTGTTCTATACAGATATGGCAATGTAAAATGTGTGTGTTGTTTGTTAAATAAGACTGTCTTTATTTATTATGACTTGACTATTATGACTTTTGAAGATCAAATCACATTTTAGGAGCCATTCATGCAGAAATCCAGATAAGTCCTAAGGGTTCCCAAACTTTTTCTCACAACTGTAAAACCACAACAGCGAGCTTAATCGTGGTACTGTATAAATATAATCCTTCAGCAATGGTGTGTGTATCAGGCTGTTTCTGTAGTTGTTTGTCTCTCTCCCCAAGGATTTGTGGCTGCCTTACTTCAACGTGACAACCGATATCACGGCTTCAGCAATGCGTGTCCACAAAGATGGTGAGTCAGTGGAACTGTGTTCTGTACGCATTCGGCAGAGTCTTCTCCCTCTGGATCGCTACCCAGGACTCAGTTGCAGACTTGCTTCTGTACTGTACGGGGTTCTACTGACCCGATTCCTGGGAACCTCACAGTTTGAGTAAAATGGACAGCAGAGGAGGAATGTTAGCTGTGACTTCATGTGCCACACTGCAGTATTTTTAATAGCAAGTAAGTCAGTTACGTTTAGGTGAGACATGCTTACATCTTCCAGGTAGAGCAGATTATGCATTTATATTCCGAGGAATCAAGCAAGAAAATGAACATTTAAGGCTAAATTTTAATATTGAAACTTTGGAATGTTGCAACAACCCAATCAAACGTCCTGGTACATTTTATAACCCCAGACATACTGTTACTGTTTTTGCCAGTTAAAGGGATGGGGGTTAATTCCCCTTAATTCATTCTTAACTGTGTTGATCTTTAAGCCGGTTTGAAGTGCTGTATGACTAATTTAATCTTTGCTTTGTTTAATGTTAACATTTGGCTCCAGGGTTCAAAAGGACCAGCATGTTTTTCCAATTTGATTTCTCACAATCAAAGAAAATTGGCATAATTGTGTTCCTACCCTCTACAGGTATTTAATTTTCTGCCTGTAGCTTGTCCTGTTAAGTTAGTTTACTGTATATTCTTAGTGTACACATTTTCTTTCTGTTCTTGTTGTATAACGGAACCGCCTAATAATGCAGACAGTCTAAGACACATAATGTGTCATTGTTGCACATAGGCTCTATTTGGATTTTCTCCAGGAAACGGACATCCATCTCCTTGACTCTTCTTTCTTTATCAATTAATGTTTCCTGCAGGATTATTCTGTTCACTAAGAAAAAAAAATATTGTAATGCTTAAATCATGCTGAGAAGTAAAGCAGCAATTCTGACAGTCTGAAATGACCCCTGGAGTCTTGTTAATGCTCTGGCTTCAAACTTACAGACTACAGACTGCTTTTTCCCCAAAAATGCATGAAAATAAAGTTCTATGATAACGGCACAAGTTTTTAAATACTGGTGGCATCTGTAATATGTTTTCCTGTGGCTCTGTGTCAAAGTGACAGCTCCAGTAGTCTTCTCATAAGACTGCCAAGAAGCTGGGAGGGAGACAGGGATGAGGGAAAGTGTGTTTCTGTCCCACAGAGCTGTCCGTAAGGCCATGACACCCCCCTCACAGCGACAGCGATGTGTAAGATGTGTTGGGACAGTCAGTCAGTTGGCAGACTTAGAATGAAAGGCCCCTAACTGCACAATAACTGCTTAGCATAAACTAGCATGGGATTTCCCTAAACCTTTTTCTCTGTAGCATTCTCCCATTTTGTGGGAGCTATTGCAAGGTCAATTTCTTATGGGAGAGGAAGAAAAGAAAAAAAGAAGGAGCATAGTTTCCTCTGAGATTCAGCTTTGGAAACGTACAGTAGTTCAGGAACTTGGGCACAGAGCTTTGGAATGTCATCCTGTTGGGGATATTGCTCTCGCCTGCTATTTGGAGAAAAAGCAGTAGCAGTAGTTGGTTTGATAAATCAGTTGTTACAGCCATTATATACTGTAGTCCAGCTGCATGGTGAAGCTCTAACTGCATGGACACTAACCAATGGCACGCCTGTCTGAGTGAGGTCTCTCCTATTTCTGTTGTTTAGTCCCTGGAATTGGGTTTGATCTTTTGCTTTGGGTTTGTGGTTCATCACCTGCAATACCTCTATGGCATTCATAATACTACAGGTTAAGAGTATTATAACAGTCCTGCACACCCAATTTGCGTGTATGCTGGAGTCAACTTCTGGCATTGCCCATGTTTGATTTTCACAACATCTTGCAACTTTGGTGTTGAATTGTGGTCTGAAAATCTCTGTTGTTAATTCAGATTATGTGTGATGTTGCATGTGGTTATGATTAACATTGTTATCAAAATACATCCTTCAATACAAATAGAAATTAATTAGAGGCACAGCATTTGTATTCATGAATATAGTCAATTTTCCCCATCCCAGATTACTGTGGCTGGATTTCAAGTGAATCCTGGACTTCTACTGGAGAGATCTACTAAATCTGCTTGTGTCAAATGCTGTGGTTATGAACATTTAATTTAATATTTTGAAGAGCTTGTTTTTAGCACTGCTTTTCAACCCTAAAACCCATCATGCTGACTAACTGATGTAGATTCTAATTGGATTTTACTCCACTAAAAGTATTTCAAGGGGGGCATAGTTAGAGTATGCTGTACAGGCAAGGAAATTGCAAAGATATCTTTAAAAATAATCAAAGATACTTTCCTTTATTGCGGAACATAGAATCTGGAAACTCACACAAACTTCTCCATTCTTTGGAATCTTCTTTCTTTTGAGATCATCTCCCCTACCCTGATGTGTGTAGTTGGTTATACAGAGGTGGTATATCCTCCATTGTGTTAATTTAGTTTTAACAAAAGCATAAAGTTGATATTATGTGCAAGGAGTCCTCCAGGCTTAAAATGAGCATGTTGACCTGAACAGGTTTGAATTCAGCCTGTCTTGCTTAACATTTGCTGTAGCGATGTGTCTGGCTTTCAGGTGCTGAGGCTGTTCATTTGATGTTTTGGAGGAGATCTGATTACACTTTAAAACATAACTTGGAATCATTACTAGAAAGCACCCCTGTAGTAATTAGTCTTGTCCATCATTACACCACGGCATATAAGGATCCCCAGCTAACGGGACTAGCCAGCGATTACTGACCTGAACTGCAGCCTCCATGTTGCATATTGAGTATCTTGAGGGTGCCAGAGTCAACAGCTTTCCGTTTTATTCCATTTTAAACTGGTATCAGTTCTTCAGTGCATGAAAGTCATCCCCCTGCACACAAATTCTTCTTTTCTTCCTAGAGATTGCATTAGATCCTAGTGATTATGTCAGATTGGATAACCTGAAAGATCCTTTGTTCGAAACTAGAGACTATGCTTTTTTCATGCTTGTAGAGATCTGTCTCTTGCTCTAACAGTAGATATACTCTGATCTTGCATGGTGAGGAGGAGGGGTCAGCCTCTGTGGATTAGCATCTGTGTGGGGTCCTTCTGCCCTCTGTCTGTCTTTTAATGGGACTAACACTAAGCCTCACTCTCTCATTCTATAGTCACATCTGTAAAACTACAGCACTGCTGATTATTAAGGGGTCTCTTTTTATTCATTTTGGGGAAGGAAATTGGCAAGAAAGGTTGTTATTAATTCCATACAGTATTATTCTTAAGCATATTCATCCCACGGGGATAAAAATGGACTTTTTTGTAGTTGTAATCCATTTGTTTAGTGCCAGGCTCATGAGTAGTAGGGAGGAGAGGGATGTAATTGTTCACGTTTCTGTATTTCTGGTATTGTTCCACACGCGCAACAGTGGATCCTTAGGCTGGTCGACAGGGGAGTGTCAGTGTGAGGTGCTGTTGCCTCCTGGTAGCCAGTTCGGCTGTGCTCTGTCGCAGTTTACAGCATTAACTGGCGAAAGCCTGCAATCCGAAGATTACAGCACTGTAGATCTAGTGTGCATGGCTACTATGCAAGTTGAGGGGTTGTTGATTGAAACGTGGATTGTCCTCGTGATCCAGAATGCTGCAATTCAGGAAGCTCTTGCTGTGCTTTTCCCTGCTCTCTTCCACCCTTTCCCTTTCCTTTGTCCTCTCTCCCTCCTTCCCTATCTTGGTCTCTTGCTCTGTGGCTGTCCATTTTTTATTTACTCTTCACTTCATTCGACAGGCTGTGTCTGGCGCTATGTCAGAGCGAGTGCATCCTACACCCCCTATTTACCTCCTCTCTGCGACCCCAAGGATGGTCACTTGCTTGTGGATGGCTGCTATGTAAACAATGTCCCAGGTCAGAATCGAGCCCCCCCTCCCCTCCAAGGAACCTCTTGAACCTCACCCTCTCCCTCAAAGTGTCCTGTTCTTTCTCTTTCCCTGCACCCTTTTCGCCACGTGCCTGACCGGCTGGACATTGGGAACCCATGGTTTGGAAGGAAACGCCATTTCTCAAAATTGGTTTTCCCAAAATCTGTCCCAAACTTCTCCACTTGAATTGGTGACTCAAATTTTGGACTAGGCTCGCTCAGTCATGCAGGTAGTCATCCATGGGTCGGAGATGCATGGTTCGGTTCTGTTTTCATTTCGTGTGGTGCACTTGTCTGGTACAAGAAGTGGGAGTCTGTTCATTTTTCTGTATATGCGTGTATATCATCTGTTAAAGAAGATATGAATGCTGTGTCTTTGGAGCTTTCGCTTTTTGAAAGCAGCATTCTTTTTGTTTTTAAATGGGCCGTAAGATACCGCCTGTATTCCATAAATTTTTCTGTTATTTTCCCTTGATTCTTTTTCTGTGGTTCGCTGTTGGTTGTAACAGCTTTGTTTGCAGCTGTACCCAGCTAGCTATTTTGGCAAAACTGTGTGACGGTATGCACTTTGGCGTTTTATGGGCCCGGTGGCGAATCTTGTGTGACACTGGCACATTTCCTGGCATGGTCAGTGGAAAATAAACTGCTTTACACTGTCAGATTGCTTTATGATGCCATCATCCCCTGTGTGAAGTCCAGCCTCATCAATATCAGGTGACTTATCCACTCTTTGGGTGTGCGTTATATGTTCCTTTTTTAATAGTAGTGCCTTGGTAAAACTTGTGAAAATGACCCTTTAGGGTGGGCTCTTACAGTTGGATTGCTTCTGCACGTGCAGAAATCTTGGGATACTGTTTAGCCGGTCTTGATGACAGGGTTAGAGATCGGGGTATCTCCTCGTGCCCCTCCTGAATCCTGGCATTCAGCTTGAGGTAGTCTTAGGTTTGGTTATTTATTTTTATTTTTCAAGCACCGTTGCTTGCAACTTTTCATTGTTTTTGTTTTTTTCAACAAGTTGCTCTCTCCCAGCGATGAGGAAAGCCTGGAAGCTCTTTCTGTGTGGCAGCAAGCTTTTTCTCCAAACACCACAACAACCTTTTTTTTTCCGCTTTTTCTCGGAAGTTTTGCCACCCGCTTCGCTTGCTTTTTTTGCGTTTTTTTTGTGTCCTTCACCTTCTCAAGGAGCTGTGTATGTTCTGGATGCTACGCAAAAGAAGAGTATCATATGTAATCCCACCAGAATCTTTCAAAAACATGATTATTTCTAATTCTGTTTGATATTTAACTCTGTACAGCTTTTTTATTGCCCCCCAGAAAACCACACAAGTGCCTCGCTTTGTTCTGTCACCCTCCAAGCCCACCCAACTGCATCCCATGAGCACCTGTGTCAGGAGCCAGTCTCCTTCCAACCCATGTCTCGTCTAGTCTCCTGCCCTCTAGTGGTAGAGTCAAGGAGGGCAGGACCTGGACTGGCTGGCTGCCCCAACGTGTTCACTGAGAGATCCCAAACCCCTTTGTTGGGTGCCTGCACAGCACCTTACAACTTACAGCCATAGCTCTGTAGACTCATGTGTTTGCTTACCCACTTTTAAAGGCTCATTTGCAAGATCAAAGACTGCCTTGTGCTATAGTTAGATAACTGTGACCCTATAGCCCATGATTTCCAAAGAATTAAAAAAATATTTCTTTAGAATGCAGTGGAACAGAAATTTATTTAAACTGTTGCATTGCTTTATGATGCTGCCAGCCCAGTGTGAAGTCCAGCCCCATCTACTGTATATCAAGTGACCTATCCATACTCCTTTGGCTGTGTATTATACGTTCCTGATCTCCCATTAAGTGTTGTCAAAAGAATCCTGTGCAGTGGGCTATTGCTGCTGGATTGTCTCTGCAGGTGCAGAAATCCAGAGATGCTGTGCAGCCCATCCTGACAATGGGGTTAGAGATTGGGGTGTCTCCTCCTGCCTCTCCAGAGTCTGTCACCCCTTTGGCCACCCCCCCCCGACTCTGGCATGCACGCACGGCCCAGGGGGTGAAGGGAGGAGGCAGCAGGAGGCAGCCTAAGGGCAGTGGTTCGTGTTTTGTGTAGACTGATTGAAATGTGTCCCTCCCCTCCGGTGTGTGCCAGGCTCACTGTGGCGCTATGTGCGGGCTAGCATGACCCTTTCCGGGTACCTGCCTCCACTTTGCGACCCCAAAGATGGCAACTTGCTCATGGATGGCGGCTACATCAACAACCTGCCAGGCAAGTAAGGGGACCCGCACCCAGCCCGGGTCCAGCCCGAGTCCGGGGTAAGGTGAAAAGGTTTGGGCCGGGCATTAGCACTGGCCAGGGGTGAGTATGACCATTTTTACAGCCAGCAGGGTTGGACAGTTTAACATGCTTCCTTTCCATCTGCTCTGGAGGGCCATCAGGTCCTGATTGATTAAATTTGAATAAATTTAGCAACATTTAGCATCTTTTACATGCGTGACTGATGTTCTTTATACATTTATACATTCTGAACTCACAAGCCCAAAGTCTCGATGTACAAATATAAGAACAGCCTATCCTAGCCCCTTTGATTGGAAGTGGCTAATTACATAAAGAACTGCCTCCTGTTCGTGATTTAAAGTGCACAGCAATGTAGGTTCCACTCTATGGTTCGTGTTCCCCTGTTCATTCAAAAGCTATCCTGTACCTTGAGGATTTTGAATACTTGTATCAGATCCTATGTTGTACAGGACTACAACTGTCCCTGACTATCAGGTCAGAAATGAAAATGTATGGATGAAGAAAGGTATACATTTGCAATTACCGATTTCAAATCGGATATTCCTTCCGTGTTTGATTCCTTACCAGGTACTGGACTTGTGTGAAATATCAGTGCCTTAGAAAATAAGAGAACAGAGCAAAGAGAACAATGACAAACACCTGCTTAGTTCTACATTAAAATGAGTTCTTCCCCCATACCAAAAAAAGTGTTTTTCTCAGTCTGGCTGAACTCAAAGGGCAAATGGAAACCGGCATGTAGTCACACAAGGATTTGACTGAAATAGACACTTGATGTAAAAGATATTTCATGCTCTGACATGATTCATGCACTAGCAGGATCAAGCATGGTGCGTACAGTCAATGCTATCGGATGACCTGGTGTTGAGCGTACCAGAGCTATTTGAAATATTGTTGAGAATGAAAACACTGTAAAGACATTTTGAAACATTCCCTTACATTAAAGGCACTGTCAGAATGGAAATTTGGCACACCCTAGAACCTGTGATAGATGGTTTTGAGATAATACAGTTTATGTTTATAGGAAAAATACCTGCTAGCATTGACTTGAAATTAATTTTTGTAAGTGAAGCACAAAAAGGTGTTTTGTTCTTTTTCCTTGTAACTTGTATCTCAAATTACCTTGATCCACTCTTTTTGTGGTCTAGCTTTATTTTATTTCCCTGCGAACTTTCCTGCATTTCTGTGTTGCCTCTAGGGTCCGTGTTACCCTGATGTCTGTTTATAGCGAAACGAACATGGGTCGAAAAGTTTGTTTGGCTTTGCAGCGAGAAAAACACAATTATTAGGATGTAATTAATTTGTACCAATGTGGGAAATCTGGGTATTCCGCACACACTGTCACGTACATATCGTATAAGTACAATATCTAGTGAGTCTTGAATAGAGCCCTCTTTGGACAGTGTTGTGTGAAGCTTTTTAAATTTGATCGGCACTGTACTTAATGTGTGCAAACAGAACCTATGGGATTCTTCTAAAGAGTACAGAAGTAAAAGTTTTGACCCAAATTGATGTGCAGAAAACGTCATATTTCCCCATCTACTGAAGCCACCTGAGCCTAAACAAATTTAGGTGCGGCTTGTTTAGAAGTATTATTGTGTTGCCTCTGGGGAAATTTCCACACTGCGTTTAACAAACAGAAAGCATTTGGAATTTTGTTTTTCTTGTGCTGTGCTATTTAAAATGCATTGCTGAGCTCTGGTCTAGATAATCCATCCAATCATTTATGCTAATTTAAGTACTGGAAAGCACCAACAGAGCCCTCTGACCAGACATCCCTGGTTTAAGCCATGCCCATGTGACTTGGATTCCTCAAGTGGTAGTGCACTAGAGTGAAGAGTGCCACTAGATTAAAGTGAGTGTTATAGGGCAGGAGCCTCTCAGCAGTCTGCACAATAGCAGTTTCTGGGACTTGCTGGGCATCTGTGGACTTGTGACATCAGCGACAGACAAGCTGCTCCTTCAATCAGAATCCTCTCTGCTGTTAAGTACTGGAGGTTGTTGCATGTCAAAACCTCATTGGCTCTGAAGGGTGGGCATGTCGAGGGAGAATATCAGAACGGCCATATTCGCCCTCTGCAGCATAGGAATTGGTGTCAGAGAGCCAATTCTTTGAGCACCTGTCATTTCCAAATAGCATGTATATACAGCATAATAAATTGGTAAATTCCAAATTTTAAAATAGTGCAGTACAAATTATTTTGATGAACACTGGTAGCATTTTCAAAATAATAGCATTCAGGCTGGGGTTTCCAAAAAATGGATACACCCAGATTTTTGACAATCAGTGTTTTAGTCATAGAAACAGTGAATAGGATTTTCAATAATGATGTTTATGATTTGTATATGTTTAAAGGGTTCTTATAAACATCTCAGTGTAACATCCAAAGACAATTACTTGTCAGAATCCTGAACTCATATCTGATTTGATGCTTTTCCAAAACCTATTTAATTGCTGTGTATTAACCTTTTGTTGAGCTGATTATATTTAAAATTTTACATTTTAAAGGTTCAGTTTCAGTGGGGTCTCTGAAACAAAAAGCAGTTCAAATTCTAAACATAAGCGTACTGCTCAAATTCCAGACGACCATTATGGAAGACAGTTTGATAAACGTGGTTGGAGATTTCTCACACACCATCCTACAACTGATACCATTAAGACTACAGTTTTATCACAGGCATTATCGATTAATGTACCTAAATCATAAATGGCGTAGTGAATGATGTTAAATGTGAATCATGACTTAGTTGACATTTGTGATTAGCTGAGCCAGAAAGATTCCTGAACTGCACTCGTTTACGGGTTGCAATAATCAATGGGCGAGATACAGCCCCAAGGATAAGTTGGTGAAAATGCTTGCCTCTTCCAAACGGACTTAAAACCCCAGTCCTGTGATGACAGCTGCTTCTGAAGGTCATTGCATTGCTGGCTTTTTCACCACAGGTATAAATGCCATGCTGAAACTGTAGGCTTACTTTCTTGGCTTTGCCACCTGGATTCACAAGTCTTCTCAATCTCTTGGATCCTGGTCTTGCTTGGCCTCTTTACTGGGACTACTCTGCTATTCTACTATAAATCAATTTTTCCCTGATCAGCTGATGTCATCCTTTTAAGGACACTGCTAGAGCAGCCCACAGATGGGATGGGCAAGGTCAAGGGACGCACACCTTGTAAACACGTTTCTGAATCCCAGCTCAAGATAAGAAACTGAGAAGTGTCCAGTAAAATAGCTGTTGGCAGAGTGGTTTCCCAATAAAAGGCCCAGCGCTTGGCCTTTTTTATATTCACGGTTTCTTTTTTCACTACTATGTCCGCCACAGCCGATATGGCCAGGAACATGGGCGCCAAAACGGTGATTGCCATCGATGTGGGGAGCCAGGACGAGACGGACCTGTGCAACTATGGGGACTGCCTGTCTGGCTGGTGGCTGCTGTGGAAACGCATTAACCCCTGGGCGGAAAAAGTAAAAGTAAGCCAAGAAAGAGTTAGTTGGTTTTCCCGTTTCTTTTTTTTACGGGCCTTCCTTTGTTTGGCCATGCCAGCTGTTTAATAAAAAGAGCAAGAAATGAATTTCAAGTAATGTGTCTGCATCAGTCTGCTATTGTTATTGTTGTTATTATACTATTGTTAGGCTGGGCAAACGATTTTTAATTTTTTTAAAAAATAAATAAAAAATTAGATATAATGATGTGTTCCTGCTTAACTTAGACATTGCACGACTTTAAAACATATAAAAACAGGTTTCCAGAGTTAAAAACCACTTTTTATGCGCAAAAAATGGGTGATTTTTCTTCCTCGTGATCAGCTCAGAATCTTTGTGTACGCTGTAAGGTTTT